GGAATTTCTACAGAAACGCGGCCTTAGCTAAATCGCGGGTGGAAGCTTTACACTCGCTGGATTGGAGTCGCCCAAGCCGGAAAAGCCCTGGCCACATGGAACCTCAGAGGTTCTCTCGATGGCCCTGGGGCCATTCCCTGGGGCTGGGGCTAGGCTTCTCCAAGGCGCCATGGCTATGGCGGTGATGTTGCTCTCGAAGTCCTGGAAGAGGCCTGCGCTCGATTGGAAATCCAATCGCCGGGTGCCCCGTTCTTCAACTTTCGAAAGGGGCATCCTGTACACGACTACCAGAAAACAGGAAGTGCCACTTTGGGTCACATCCGGGTGGTTGGGGCCATCTTGGGTGTTAGCGGCTTCCCGTTTACATCAACGAGGAATAGCCAACACATGCCAACACAGACACACACCACATCTCAAATACACAATTCACCGCGCAAAACATGATCTATCTTTAACAAGCAAAGACAAACACACGATACCAGCCAAAACTTGAAACAACAAGAACAAGGCCCGCGGAAGCACAGAGAAAACCAAACAGATATGGAGGAGAAAAAAACGAGGCCTTCGGACACACACGTTGAGAAAACACACGTCTTCACAACGAGACCCACGCGTCTGCCATACCACGGCCCACGGAAACCGACGGAGATCCAACCCCGCCGTGGGAAGTGTCGAGGCCGCCGAGGCCGGCCATGGGCACCAGGAAGCCGCGGTCCGCGCAGCACTTCACCTCGTGGTTTCCCCAGGCGTTGCTTTTTATTTTTTTCGGGGAACCTCTGGCAAAAAGAACGTGTGTGAATATTAGTGTATATGTATATATCATATTATATGCATATAATGTGTATATTATGTATATATATATATATAATGGTGGTTTTCCTGTTGGGTTCCGTTGCAAACCAAGAACATGGGTGAACATGGTGGGGTGTCCCTGTTGGCTTCCCTCTAAAACCAAGAACAAACTGGAGAACATGGTTTGTTCTCCCTCTTAAGGCGGTTCCAACTCTCGAAATGCATGGCAGGGTTGTTCAGTACACCTTTCCAGCATACTGAAGCGGCTGCCTTGAAGATCCCATGGGTTTGTCTTTTGAGGGTACTCACTTTCTGAGTGGATGGCAACCGCAAAATGTCCAACCTTTTTGAGTGCCACTAAAGTGGTCTTGCCAACAACGAAACGAAGTCCAGGAACTCAGGAAGTGAGGGTAACAAGTCCCAGGTACTCAGGAAGTGAGGGTGACCGGGTCCCATGTTCAAGCTTGATTGAAGACCAACCAAGGGAAAAAACATAAACAAAACCCGCCACGCTTAAAGGGGGGTCCATTTTGAGACCATCTCGTCCATATCTCCAAGCTCCAAAAGGATAAGGGTTCACTTAGCCCCAACTAGGGCACCTCAAACAGACTTGCTGCGTCGATGTTTGAGTTGTAAGCCCTGGTTTCGTGCTTTAAGCGAAACCCAAGGGAAAACCGAAGATATTTGTGGGGGTCCCTGAAAAAAGACAAACCATAAACGTGATGATCACTACACCTTCCAGGAGCCATGGTTCGTAGGTCATTTCACCATGGCACATATGGTCCGTGAAAAAAAAGGATTCGGGCACGCCAACATCGGCGAATATTGCTTTTTTTTCACGCCAATCTGAAAAGGGTTCACCTCAAAACAACCCCCGCCCATATCCTCGCCCCACTATGGGGTAGAACAACGCATTGTAAGACTTGTCCACGAACCAATCACCACAATGGCTGAAACTGCTCCATAGGCTTCGAGGTGATTCGACAACCTGTCCAAAGAGGAAGAAATCAGGTCGAGCGCATTGTCATCGCCGATCTCAATGGTTGGTGCCCTCCAGCCAGCCAACCAGCCATGTCCTCATGCGCCATAAATCAATCAATCTCAATTCAAAGAGCCTGGTTCCCCCGGGCGATGGAAGGGAAAGCTACTCCTTGGAAGGCCGTAGGCCCAAGCAAATGGCTTCCCTCAGCTGCACTGCAGAACTTGAAGGGGTCCACCAAAACCAAGGCTCAGCGCCCCGAAGAATGAACAGAAACCCCCAAAAACCTGCAAACCTTAAAAAACATGCCAACAACACTGAAGAGGACATACACTTCGACGTAAACCATAGGGTCCCCAATTCAACACTCGCTTGTGCCACTCAAGTCCGAAACGGGCCTCGGGAAGTGCACACATCATTCGTCCATTTGCTTCAGCCCCCTGGAAAAACATAGTTCCAAGAGTGATAGATTCCCTTGAACACCACCAAGGGAAAATAAAACATGTTCTTTTCAGCAAGTGGAAGCATTTCAGCACATCCTTACTTGGTTGCTTTCTGCTCCCCTGCTAAAAGGTGGTTTAATACGGAAAACCCATTACTTGGCAAAAAGTTAAAGTCCTAACATCCCTTGGCAAAATGCACCAAAGCTTTGGCGTGGCGCGACGGCTGTCTCCTCCGCCGTTTGGCACCGGTCCACCGCCCAGTTCCGCCAGCGCCGGCTGCCCGCGCGGGTCATGAAGCCCACGGCGCCTGGCGCGCTTCGCTTGTGGCGCCGGGCGCAGGCGGATGTTTTTTTCTATGAAGGGAAACCCGTTTTGGGTGGTTTCAAACTGGGCCTACGCCTGGAAGACACCATTAAACAATGACTCTGCTACATGTTGGGGCTACCCGAAAATCTAAAGTAGTATTCGAGGAGAACCCAGTTCAGGAGAGGTGTCAGTGAGGAGGGATTCCAAGCTCTATTCATCTAGTCTTCCCAAAGGTGGGAAAATACATGTCCTCATATGTCATCCAAATATGGAAGGTTCTCATTTGGTCTTGGCCTCCCCTTGAAACAGTAGAAACTGCCCTCAAAAGCCGACAAAACAGCCTAAGTTCCGCCCGGATCAGATCGTCTTCCGCAACGAAACTGTTGCAGAAAAGGCGGACGCAGCGCCGTGACAAGTGCAAAGGGCAGTCTGAAGCTCAGGTAGGCCAAGGGCAACGCCACAAAGCGGATCTCGACCTCCCCATACTGTGGATGGACGAAATCCTGCACCGCCCAGGAAACCCTGGAATGATGATTCCCCTGTAAATACCAACCAACAATGGGTTTCCCATGGTTTCGAAGTGGTGCGAAGTGGATTTCGTCCATCCACAGTAGGGATGCCTCAATCTGGGAGATACCGTTCCCAAAGTCAACTTGCAATCCCAAGCAAAGGACTCCCGACTCATGCAAGCCTGACCAGACAGGTAGAACCAGAAAACAGCAAAGGTCCAAGAGCCCTACGGCCTCCGTACCTTTAAGCATCCCCACCGTGGGAGGGCCCTAATCTCTCGCCATCCTTGGTATGAAATTTCGCGAAAAATATCACCTTCGACAACCATGACAGTAAGTGGTTTATGTTGCCAAGGTCAAACTCTTAAGACCCGGCTGCGTGAAAAAATGCGTTCTGAACATCGGCCCCTTTCCGGCCGCGCGAGGAAACCAGCAGGAAACCAACTGGATGCAGAGCCCTCAGCCTGTGCCCTCCACAAAGCAAGCAGTGGAGCTCCAGACGTTCCTTGGGCGCCGGGTACTCCATCCCGGTTCGGCGACCAAGGGGTTGTTGATTCAATGCCCGGCGATTCCATGCGGTTTTGTTGCCCGTCTCCCAGCCTTTTTGACGACCGGCTTTGTCGGAAACCAACGGGGGGTTCCCATTTGTCCTTCTCAGGGACCCTGATGACCTCTGCAAAACAGAAGTACTCGGTCGCAAAAAACACAAAAGTACTTCTCCGTTGAAGTTACAAATGGAGTCCATATGCCAGGTCCCTTGGGTTTGCCCAAGCTGGGCAGCCAATACCCACACCGAGAAAAAAAAGGCCGCGCTTTATGCTGGTCGGGGCTGTCCCTCGCTAACCCTCAGACTTTACTATAGGCTATAGTAAAGTCTGAGGGTTAGCAAGGGACAGCCCCGACCAGCATAAAGCGCGGCCCTTTTGTTCTCCGTTTCCTGGGTAGACTGTAGGGTTGTTGCTTGTGGCTGTGATGCTTTGTGGCTAAGAAAGTCGCGAAAAGTGTGCATTGACTGCTCCCAAGGCCGAGGGTGGTACCAAAAGGGCTTGCATGCAATTGTGGGACAGGGATACGCAGAACCAACAAAAACAAACACGCCGGGGCCCTTCCGGACACCAAGATTGGCAAGAAAAGCCAAACCCCTTTTACACACAGACCCCCAGTGGCTTTCAATCTGATTTTAAAGGGGCTTCCCCCCTCCAAAAGCGAGGCCTCGCAACCCACGGGTAAAAATTACTCCCGAACTTTTTGGGGAAACCCAGCTGATCAAACTAGGAAAAACTCACCAGGGGTTCTACTACCCCCCATACTCAGTACCCCAAAACAAACAGGACACACAAAGACATACTGAGACCATCCCAAAACACCGCAACAACGACACACACACACAGCACAAACCAAAAACCTCCTTAAGCCCCACTTCGCTTGGCGATGCCCCGCAGGCCCCATATAGGAGCCCTTCCCAAACATCCAGCAGACGGGAACGAACTGTGTGAGTAGCTGCAGCCCTTCTGAGCCGGTTGCCCCGGTGCGTGCCCCATGTGGCTGTGAGTGTATCCATCTTGTGTGGGAGGAATTGGTTCACTTAGGAACAGTCGTGGTTGACTTGGAGAGACCTCCCAAAAAAACCTCCCAAAGAAGCCACTTAGGAACAATCCTCCCAAAAAACCTCCCAACAAATTCCTCTTAGAGAAACCTCCTCCCACAAAAAAACCTCCCAAAGCACACCTCTCAGAGTCTCCCGGCAGAAGCCCCGGGCCAAGGGGCGCCTGGTCGTAAGGCCCGTCGTAGGCCACGGAGGCGCCCGTGAGGCAGTGCCTGGGTCTCCGAAACTTTGGGCGGAGCGGCGAGCGCACAGATGAAGAGGTGAACTGGGGCGTGTCTGTTTTCAAAGAAAACTTGGACTAGTAAAGCCTCTTTGAGTCCAACCCAAGCCACAAAGAAGTGTCTCAATACCTTTGGCAACTGGCCGTCCCAGGCCCTTCGAGTCAAGTCGCGGTGAGAAGGGGTCGTCCCTTGCCTCATCGTCGAAGAGCTCCTCTTGGGTACACAGACGAGCCCCTGGCGGTGCCACGAGCCCGGGTCACACCTGTTGGGCCAGACTGATCCCGGCAAGCCATCAATTTTTGGCTGAAAGAATGTCATGGCTCGGAAAAATATGGCGAGAAGTTTGAGAGACCGAAGTCTGGCAATGAATCAAACTTGATTTGGTCAGCGTGAAAGCCCCGCACGAATTCGAACCGTGAGAAACATCCTAGATGCGCGCATGTGAATTCGACTATACAGGGCAAAGGTATCGATTCCATGGAAGATAAGGGACCTCAGGTAAAGAATATTCATGCGTTCTAGTTTACCCTGAGATCGTGACATGCAGAAACTTGACAAACCCGCAAGACCCAAATCCAAACCACTTCAACTCGTGCTGGGTTGTTTGCCCCTGGCACTTGCCACACCCAGGAACCACCACGAACCTGGCATTGACACGCAACCTTTACTGCGTTGAGTGTTCCAGTTGGCCTGGAACAAACCAAGAGAGACCCATCCCCTGTTGAATTCCGGTTCTTGCTTTCTTGCAAACCATGTTGGGTCCCCTTTTCCCCAAAAAAATGATTTGAACATCTGAATTGTCTCTAAGCAGGGGGGCACCCGTATTTGGTACAAGTTAAAGGGCAACCCTGTCCAAAGAACTGGACCAGGGCACCGGACCCCGGACCTTGCTTGAGTTTGTTGGCTAGAGTGGTCGGCCGTGGTGGAATGTGAAGGGCACGATGTTGCCAACACTGCGTGTTACTGGTGTCGAGCACGGGTCTTTTCACACTCCTCTCCTCAGGAAAGGAGTTTACAAGCAGCATAAGGAATTGATTAAGAAGCTCGCGAGACTTGCGAAGCTGACAAGAGGGGCGCACAAAGCCATGCGTAGCTCGGATGGCCGTTCGCCATTCAGTCAACTTGCCAGTCTGCGAAGCGCAGGCCCGGCTACCACACACATGTCAAAGGCCATGATCGTCACACCTGCCTTAGGGCAGACTCACTAATTAGCTCTCAACGTGCAAGACAATCTGCCCCTGTGCCAAGGCTAGATCCAAAGCTTTCTGCAGATCTTAGCTACGACGGTGATGCGCGCCAACAAACACAGGCTGTGAGCTTAGGCAGGCATGCCGGGTTCGCGTTGGCCGCGGCGGCTCCTTCTGGACCTTGGCCTTGAGTCCGTCTGCTTCTTCTTCTTCTGCTTGCCCGGCGTGTCCTTCTTCTCATCCTTCTTGTCCGTCGTGACCGGCTTTCAATTTCACCTTTTTCTCTTTGTCGGGCTTCTGCTCTTGGGCAGGTGATGTGGGTGATTGCAAGGCCGGAGACACCAACTCTGTTTGCGAATGCGACTCTGCTGACTGCTGCGGCGCTGGACTGGCTGAGAGTCGGGGGCTGCCCAAGTCATGGTCATTGATGGCAAGACCGGACGCAAAGGCCTTGCCCAGTCAACGAATGCTGCAGAGCCAACGTCGTCTGCGTCAGAATCCTGCACACTGAGCTGAAACAGCCTGAATGAAGCACCGCGCAATGTCATCAGCTCAAGGTTTGCCTTGCAGCTGGCATCACTGGTGAGCTGATCCTGCTCCTTCCTCACAGAGTCTGGCTGCGTGCTTGATGCGGGCAACAATTCGCACCTGCTTCCCAAGATGGGTGGATGCTGTGCATGGCAGAGCTGCCTTTCACATGGACGCCTCTGGGTACATGCTTGTAAAGCTTACTCTCCGCGTGACAAAGGTGCTCCCCCGATGAGCCCAACGAAGATTTGTGAAACCAGGTAAACCTGAATTTCAAATCCGGACCTTGAAATAATACAGCCCCACTATGTTCTGATTCGCCAAATGGCTGTGCATCAAACTGATCCTTTTGGGCACGGTTCTCAGGAGCCAACTGGCCATATCATATCAGTTGCAATCTTGCAGCCAGCTACTCTCTCTCTCCCTCTCTATTTTCTTGGGAGTCTGGGAGGTACTCAAAAGCTTTCTTCTGGAGGCCGCAAGAAACTCAAAGCCCATTTTGCGAAGTTCTGGCTGGAGACACGGCCACCGAGGTAACGGCCGGAAGAGTCCGGACGGCCTTGCAGAGTGCAGAAGCGCTCGGCGTCTGTGAGGTTCAAAGCTCCTGTCGGACTTGCAAGCAGGATACCCTTGCCTGCCTCCACAACCCTACCCGGGCATCCGACCAAAATCTCCGGAATTTTCGACACCAGGACATTCTTTTGGAGGAAAGCAGGGGATTCCGGGAGTGGGGCCATAGGAAGGGGGCCAGGGGGATGAAAGTTTAGTTCTGTTTGCGCGGGAGACAGGCAGTACGCCAGCCGCATTCCCCAGCAAAAATTTAACCTATGGAATACCCTGACCGTTTCCAAAGGCCCAAGACACCGGGAAAGTGTGGTTTAAAAAGGGGACCCTCATTGCTGGCTTGATACCCTTTTGTTGTTTTTGCCTGGGGCGCGCCGATTGCAAGCAGACAAGCTTGCAAGTGCGATGCGTCACGCAACCTTAGACCGTGGTGCATCTTTGAGTATGGCTTTCCCAAAAGCCTCCTTTGATTGAAGTATGTCCTTGTGCGTGAAACGTAAACTTGCAGAATTCCACTGTTGCAACACCATGGTTGCAAAACTGACGCCGGGATGTGATCGACTGTCTTCTGTGGGTTGCCATGTGAGGTCGCCTGCGCCGTCACTTGCGCTTTGCGCATCAATATGAGCCGCTGTGCCGTGGTGTCACCCAACCTTGTCTTTCGCTTTGTCCTCTCATGAGCGACCCTTTCTCAAAGTGGAATAGAAAGGCCATGGTATGCCTACTAGCTCCACCCAGCAACCACGAGTAGGATGCAGCAGCATTCCCGCTATGTTGGTGGCACTGAACAAAGTCCGAGCATCAATACGGTCGCCACCAACGAGATACAAGCGATTGGGTTGCCCACTGATTCCAGCTGCCACTATGGTAGGGTAACCAAGGGAACCACCTTTTGAAAACCAAGAACAAAAAGGCTGGTTACACATTATAGTTGTAACTGGGATACACTGAATTAAGTATGTTGCAAGGAAAGCACGCAACACATTAAACACAGGTGCCATCCCCGAAGTGGCCAGAGTTAAGCTGCAAGAGATCTCAAGCACGAATAGTGGCAGTCCATCGCAGCGGCTGGAACAAACACTTCCCAATCCATGAGAAAACAGGTATCGTTGTCAATAACGTTTGAAGTGAAACAAACAAACAACCCTTCAACAGATCTTCCCCTTCAGACAACTACTCCTTCGCTAACCCTTTGTTTAAAGGAAAACACCTTCAACAAAAAACGGCACACAGGGAGGTGCTTGAAGCTCAGCGGCCGAAGGAATTTCCCCAAGGCACCTAAAGGCGGATGAATGGATCTGGGGGGGGGGGTGTCACTGATTCCGAATCCAGATCTCCCACCCTCAGAGGCCAGTGTCGATTCACAAACTCACTTCTGGCTAGGTCCTCCAGTAGAGAGGTTAGAATAGGGGTACCAACGTGTTTCTGTAGTCTATTTTAGTAGGGGAACCCTCCCCCCAAAAAAGGCCAAAGGGCACCTAGCTGGGGGACCTAGCTGGAGATAATGGGGATTGGGGAATTCGGATTTGAGCCCGCTCCCTGAGTTGGAATGAAACGCCTTTGGTGTTCGCACATGTTCGGACCATTTGGGTGTGGCTCAAAACTAAACAGGGGGGGGGGTACGCAGGTTTTGGTCCAGGTTTCCACTTACCAGGGTTCCATTTTGGTACCGGTTTTTTGAGCCACATCCATTTTATGAACAGTCCAACTAGAAGATTTGCAAATGGAAGGTTTGGGCCAAAAGTACCCCTGACAGATTTTGCACATAAAAAGTGTGGGTACGTTTTTTGGGGCCAAAAGCTTCCACGGGCCATCGCTTTGCTTCTTACCCAATCTTCGCTCAAATGGGCCGGCCTGAGCAGCACACGCCGTCCACAAAGGTGTAGTTGCACCTCTCACTCCGACCCTTGGCTGACTTTGACGTGACCCAAACTGAATTCCACCTTCTTTGGGGTCCAATCAACGAAGAGGATTCCCTTCAAGGAAGTTATAGGGGATGGTTTATGGGGGTCACTCCCTCATGCCCTGCTTCTTTAGGTGGAACTTCATGTCCGCCAATCCCTTTTGAGGGATCAGAGTTTACAGCCATGAGTAAAGGAATAGGGATGCTTCGATGCTTGCCCGAGCCAAGGACGCGCAAAAGAACAACGAGCATCAATACTAGCCAGGCATCTTTGAGTCACGGAATCTTCTTGGGAACAAGGACTGGCCTTTTGAGCTTTTGGCGGAACAAAGAAAGACTGCACAAACATAGCCAGTGATTCCATTTACCTGGTAAAGGCAGGTAACCCAGGGCAGAATTGAGCACACAAAAGGAATATGGTTGGCTACCTACTAAAAGTTACTATGGTGGTTGCTGGGGTCCAGTGCTGGGATATAGGTCTGTTATTTTGGAGTTGGTACTCCTGCGTTTGATGTTTTAACGGGGCACACCCATATCTCAACAAAAATACGCAGACAAAGCACACATCCCCTTGAACAGGTTGCCATCTCCATGGAGTTTGAAGGGTTTATGAAACGTTTGTGGATTCTCCTTCCGCCACCGCAGTCTCAGCTTTGTCTTACCTTGAGACCTACAAGTTTGGAGCCCTTCCTGATTTTCTTCCCTGGTAATGGAGAAGTCAAGGCCTTGATCAATGGAGGAGCCAAACAGGCTCTACCCCACAGCTCCCCTGCTTACCCCATCTCAGTTGCCAGCGTCCTGAAAAATAGAGACAGGGACCTCTATGTGTCTCGCGAAACCCAAACTAAGCAAATACTTGCAAGGCTGAAATCCACTGAAGGGTCTCTCGTCCCTCTGCCCCGAGAAGTTGCACCTTAAATCTAGGAACCTCGACTACAAATGGGCCAACAAACAGAAACCAAAAGGTTTCGGGCCACAAGTTGGTTCAAATCGGTCGGAAAGGCAACGTGACAGGAAACCAAATCGAACATTGATCCCGAGCTTGTGGAAAAAAGATGACCCAGGTAAATGGAATAATACAATCCAGACCAGTGCCATCTGTTCTAATTAAACTAACCTAAAAAGGACAACCATGCAAGTGCATCGGTGATGTTTGAACCACTCCTCTACAACCCTCCCCACTGCAAGTCGCTCACATTCCGGGTTGGGCAAAGCCCTTGTTTCAACACGTTTTGGAGTTTGTTTGCATTTTATTCACCTTTGAAGGGAACCAGGGATCGTGCAAAACATGCAGGTATGTGTCAAGATACGGCAATTACCCCAAAACTGGCGGTTTTCCTTTTGGCTTCCCTTCAAACCAACCCTAAGAGTCGAAAAACACTCTCACACACCCACCGTTTGCAACCAACCTTGTTCCTGTTCATGGTAAGCCCTGGTTGATGTTGATCGGGGGTGTCCTTGAAATGTGGGGATTCATCACTTGAGGGAACACCCTCGTAATAGGCCGGGTTTATACACTTCAGCAAAAATACCAAGAATTGGACCCTCTACTGGCCTGCTGGCCTCAATATTTACCATCATCAAAGTCATCCCAAGTGGAAGGGAAAGGTAGACCATCCGAGTTGCTGTCTGCTTTTTGACGCTACCCTTGTTGTGTGGTTTTCAAAGGGAATCCAAAAGGAAACCAACCTGCTAGGGAGTCCAACCTTACAACGACACACTCATATTCTGTGAGGAACCCCCAGAGACAGCAAAAGAGGACCCAGATGGACATACGTGACCCTTCGGAAAAACTAGATGGCCTGGGTAAATGGAATAAAACCGATCTAAACCAGTGCCATCTATGTTTTAGCCAAACTCACCTACAAAAGGACACCTGTACAAATGGACTTTTGCTAGGTCCTCCAGTAGAGAGGTTAGAAAAAAGGGTACCAACTTTTTTTTTGTACCCTCCCCCAAAAAAAGGGTCAAAGGGCACTACTGGGGGACCTAGTTTTGTCACAGCTCGTTTCTGGACGAATCTGCGCCAGGCCTCGCCCCAAGCACATCACTCCCGGCGCTGCGGCCGCACACGGCAATGTTGCCGTGGGAGGAATCCCAGCCCAGGTCCGAGCAGCTTCGATCTGAGCCCGACCCAAGCAGAAAAGGCAAACATTGAATAAACATTGGCCACAAAAAACAAATTTGAACTGCATATGTATGCATGGAAGCTACAGGGTGCTCCGAGTACCCTTCGGCCTCTGGTCAAATATATATATATATATATATATTAATTAATTAATTTATTTGTATATATATATATATATATTGAAAAGGATTCTAACAATGATCCGGGGGGTGAGTCCCATTCGTTTCAACCATTGTTCTTTTCGAAAGTCAGCCGCTTCCCCTGCGGTGTTTGATTGCAGAAAACACGGGATCCCTGCAAAGAATGGCTGGAAGCTTCCCCAAGAAATCTAGCCTTGTGGTTTGCCAGGTGCCAGGAAAAACGACCAAAACTGCCAGGAAAACGCATGGCAGCGGAGGGGAACTGCACAAGTTGATCCCAGTCTAGACACTCAGCCGATCAGGGACTGGCTGCTACCCACGTCGAACAACTAACTGTCATGTCATCCAAAAAAACTCGCTTCCTGGGTGGATTTGGATTCAGAAAAACAACAACAACACTGCAACAGCTGGTCGTTTGCCTCAGCACAAACATAATCCGGCTTATGAGTTGTCTCTGAGTTGATCCCCAACAAGAGTGACTCAAGTCCAGAACCTGGAGGTCGACTCTGGGCTAAAGGATCGTTGGTATGCACCTCAGAGACTGTAGTCCTACGAATGTTTATGCACAAAGTATGCACATCATAACAGATATAGATACATGCACATATATATATATATATTACCGTGTTCCGTGTTGCTACACCCCACCCCACCCAGAGGGTATGCGCGAGACCCCGAGCCCCTCCCACCCCCACCCCGACCCCCTGAACTTGCACCCCGACACCCCGGCACCCCCACCCCCAGGACAAGCCAACCCGCAACCAACCATAAACCAACCCTAAATACACCCTAAACCACACCCTAAACCAAACCCTAAATTATAAACCAACCCTTAATCAACATAACCAACCCTAAAACCAACCCTAAACTAACCCTTAACTCACCCTAAATACACCCTAACCCTGAAAGTCAACCAAACACACCATGTCTTCCTGAGATTGGCCCAAACAAGCTCGAACCTTTTATTTACTTCTCAAAATGGTCCAAATCCAATGACTAAAGCCCAGGAACTCAGGAGCCTCACATAGGGAAGCCCTAAGGGAAGGAACCTGAAAGTCAACAGTCACCGAAGAAAAGGGTACTTTTTGTTTGGCAGTACTTTGAAGGGAACACCCTTCACACAAAAAGAAACAAAAAAAGGCAACCCACTGCCTGGGTTGAGGGGTCCCTTTACCCGCTTAAACTTCAAAACAAAAAAGCAGGCTGATGCTTGTTAACCGAAAACGGCCCCAGCTGTGTCTGGGACCCACCCAGAAACCCCCCCCCCCCTGCAAGCCCGCCCTCAGCGCGATTCGCCTGAAGTGCGCAGCTCCAGACCGAAGAGAGCTTGCGAGTCCGCCACCAGCAGCATGGAGGTTTCCACCTGGAATTCTGCTGTTGGTTTCCCTTATAACCCCCACCCAAAAGTTATGGGCTCCCCCCAAAAGACACACCTTGGTCATAAGATTAGGATCCTCCACCCCCGCCCGCCCGAAAGGGTGTGATGCTTCATGGCTCCCGGACGCTTGGTCTATCTGTGGAATTCTGTAGTTGTTCATATTGAGCAGTGACCAAAAACCCATTGACTTTGGGCTCTAAGATGGCTAAACATACATATTCTAGGCGTTACTATACTCCTTGAAGGCAGTAGAACCTACGAACATGGCTGAACATGGGCCCAAAGGAAAATCCACAAGGTGACAAGCTTGATTCGGTTGGACAACTGTGTTGGTGGGAAGCGTTGGGACCTCTGTGAAGTGAGATATGGATTTTGCTTGCTCCCTTTTTGCTTTATCTTCTCGCAAACTCTGCTCTTTGCCCACAAACAGTGCACCCTCAAACACACTGGCTCAAATCAGGATTTGAGCGACCCTACGAACATAGCATAGCTTTGGAGGAGAACCCAGCGACATGTCTAAACACATGGTTGACCCACCTTCCCTTGGCCCCTTCCTCTCGGTGATGCTCAAAGCATTGGCCTTCCCCTTCAGCCCTTCAGACTCTGTTGCTGGTTGATCTTACTTACAGACTCACTTCCCAACTGGACTGGCCAAACAATGTCCAATGTGTTTGCTTACCACTGACGTTGTCCAAAATCAAAAAGTTCAAAGGCCAGGAGCTCCGGGAGAGAGTCTTGGGGCTGACCACTTTCGTGAAAGCAACCAGCAGAGAGGAACTGAACAACCGAACGACCACCGAAGGAGCAATACAGACTACTTTTGGAGGAGACTCCAGCCAATTGTTTTTGTTTCCTTCCACATGGGTGTGGGTCAACATTCAACCACCTGTGAAAAACCGCGGATTTCCGTCCATGTGTCCATTTGCCGATCGGGCAACCCATGAGGGTACCCCACTGCGGATGGACGAAATCCTACACCACCTTGAAGCCATGGAATTGAAGACATACAGTAGCGTTTGTTGTGGTATTTTGTTTCCGGGGGAATCGAATCAGAGGCGTTCTTCGGAGGGAAACCCGCCGCCATCCACCCGCCACGACTGCGCCCCTTCCATTGGCCCGGCCGTCTCATCCACTGCCAGCGGCCCGGGCGCTGGCAGAAAGCCGCTGCTCCGCGGCAACGCGTCCGAGAGGTCGAAGGGCCCGCTCTGCAGCAGCTCTGTCCTGGACGGGATGAGGGCATCACTAATGTTAACCCCGGATGAAGTTAAACCCCTGATTGATTTTGATCGGGGGGTGTCCCCTTTTAGTGGGGATTCATCACTGTTGGAGGGAACCCCCCTAATAATGGGACGGGTTTATTAATCCTGGGTCAATATTATGTTGAACAAGCCCCATTGCAAGGGCATTTTCGGGCACGGGGTTTGGAGGAGGCTTTACCCCGCCTGCATAAGGGGTACGTACTGTCGAAAACACTTGTATTGGTGGTATATGAGCGTCCATGCCTTCAAACCCTGGACCTGATTCACGTCTCTGACCAAGCAGCCCAGATCTGGGTTCCCCCAACAACCTTGACCTGCATTTGCGTTTGGGGCAAAAAGGAGTAAAACCAGCATGTCCACGTGATAGATGTTCGCTTTCAAATCAACAGGGGAAAATTCGACATACTCTGAAGCAAATGTAAGATAAGGGCTTATTGATCACCTTCCATCTAATTGGTTTGGATTGGTGGGTTGGTTTCCCATTTGCCCTCTACAAAAACCTGGGGTTCAAATCCCCACCCGCAATCCAAACCACCAACTAAGGGTTACCTGAAATAAGGCGCTCTTTAAAAAAAAAAAAAAAGAAACAAACAAAGGTGTTCTGAACTTTCTGGAGTCCCTGTAAAATCACAGCAAGGGTCTTGCCCTTTCTGCATAACGCCTGAAAAAAAAGAGCCAATGGCGGCATCCTCAAGAGAAACCCCCTTTCACCGTTCCGGAACCAGGAAACGCCCCAAATCCGAACTCTGAAGCCCAGCTGGGCCTATTGACCCCAAGGCTGCCGTTGCGGAGAAAACAACAAGAAACACTCATCGTCAGAAAACTGGTCGGACAGGGTTCTAGGGTCTACTGATACTCCCTTGGTACAAAATCAAAGCCATGGTCTTGATCTCACTCCACAGCCCAAACCTGTGGGTGTAAGAAAAAAAACTGTTTCTTTTCTTTTCGTTTTTAGGCCATTCGCCTGAGGGAGCCGGGGTGCAGGGCTGCGCTAGTGGCTCCACACCACGGTGCAGCGGCTTCTAAGCCGCCGTCCTCCCGCTGGCCCCCTGTCTTTGTGCTTCGTCCCGGGCTTTTTGTTGTTTGGGTGTTTCGGAAACGAGGTGTGCCATGTTTGGGCGGATGCCATGGCCCGTTTGCCGCCGTTTGTCATGATGCTGTTTGGCTTCTACGCGCGCTGGTCGGCTTTCTGGAGGCTTATGTACTTTCGCTTCACTGGAGTTCTGTTGCCTCTGATGGCACAGCTGCAGAATGCAACGTGTCTGCCTTCTCGGCCATGGACTGATTCACGATGACCGCCGGGTCCTGTTGCTGTGCATTGGCAGGTAGGGGAGTTCTGCGTCTCCACGGCTGTCACACGCAGGTCTGCAAATGTGGTATCTCCCTGGTGTGTTCTGTTTTTCTATGGCAGGCTGCGCAGTGCTGGGCTCTTTGTCGCAGAGTCATCGGGCTCCTTTCCTGCCCAAAGCTTGCTTGGCGAGGAGTGTAGGTTTGTATTTCTCAGTGAGCAAGAGATATGCTGGGATCCACCATGGTCAACCACAGGTCGTGGTTGCCATTTTGTCTTTGGCTGCTGGCTGCTACACGTGTGGCCTGTTTGAGTGTGCGTATACATTTACTTGTATATGTTTGCGTGTGTGTTTGTGTGGGCGGCTGACAAACAGCCTGGTGCTGATGTGCATCTTGTTGCCAAGTTTCGTTCAGAGGGCTCCGGGTCGGAAGCGACCGCAGGAGACTGCCCGCTGACAGATGAGAAAAAAAGCATTTTTATGGTTGGTTTATTTGAAGGTAATCGTTCCTCCAAAGGAACAAAGGACCACTGGAGGTCTGGGTTTCAGATAGAGGCAATCGGTTGTTCGAAAAGGAGTGGCCAGCCAATTCAAACTAACCCCTTTTCCTAGAGGACAACCTACGAGGGGACCAACTCCTTTCTGCTTCCCAAACAAAGCTGAAGGATAAGCTTAAAGCAGCCCAAGAACAAACTACGAGTTTGGATGAGCTAGTGCCAAGCCCGGATTCATCAACCCAGTGAGAGTGTTGGTGGGAGTGTTCAAAGCTTCCTGACTCTAAAATAAGACATCCCCCTATCAGTCAACTAGGGCTTGAACATATAATCTCGAGACAAATGAATTATTGTGCCCTCACTCCAAGTATACTGTGCTTCTTGTTTCTGGTAGTATGATGTCAACCCATGACGGTTCTAAAGACTTTATCGAAGACTTCAAAAGGCCTTGCTATGATCCTTTTTCAACCAGAACCATGGCCCTTGGCTGGTTTTGGGCTTGCCTGTTAACGGCAACTCCGTCCTCGCGCCGTTCAGCAGACGTTGCACTGATCCGCTCGATTCCGACACGAAGAGCTCGCCCGTGCTGTCGCGGAAACCTGCAAGGCTCCAACGCCCAACGGATGCGTGGGGCGGGTGGGGGAAAATCCATTAAAGCCACATCCGCAGCAGCTTTGGTATGACCATGGCAGCAACAACGGAACGTTTCTGCACCCCCTACTAAAAATGAACAGAACCGCACAAGACTAAAACCTGAAAACATGCCAACAACAGTGAAGGTCCAAGCCCCGGTATGTTTGCGGCCCCAAACATGTACACCAATGCCTATTTTCGTTGAGAACCCCGCAGTGGGCCAACCACATGTCTAAAACATGTTTAAACCTGTATCGTTGTTTACCAGCTTATCCTCATGTTTTTGTCGGGGCCGGGCCTGGCTGTTAATTACACATTTGCCCCGCAGTGACCAGGCTGACCATGGAGGCGAATCAGAGCCAACAATTTTGACTTGCCGATCGGAAATTGAAACAATTCGCAAATCAACACATCCGGCCTTTCCGTCGCAAGGGTGAGGCCGCAACACCATTTTACTCAAACTCTGTTTGCTCAAAACCGTTGCTTGCCCCGAACCTCAGTTGCGCATTTTGCAACTAGCATTTTCACAAGGAACAACCTACCCCTCTTTGCTTGGCTGAATTGAGAGGGAACAGGGGGGGGGGGGCAGAACCAACACAGAGGAGGACAAGAAGGGCTTCATTGTTTTTGTTGCTCGCTTTAGACAAAGGGCAAACAGGAGAACCGGTTGGTCACTGGACTCAATCAAGCAAAGCGCTGGGAGAAATCGATGATTCACACCGGAAACAAGGCATCCCCAATGGACCTTCATGATGGGATTTTCGAATGTTTTACTCCCGGATCGGTGAGCTCATTGGAAGTTGCCGCCACAAACACACACACAACAAAATCAGTGAAGAAGCAGGTCCGTCGGTATTTGATGAAAGTACCTTTGCCCTCCCCCGAAACCTCCAAACCACGAATTATAGCTTCTACAGTTGCCTCACTTCTTTACCCGATATTGATTGATCCCTTTGGGATCGTTTCAACCGCAACTTGGCGCAACCCCGGGCACCAACATCGTATCTTCTGCTTCTGTTTTGGGTCCATTATGTTTCAAGGGTACAATTTGGGGGTGGCTTTAAAGGAAGCCCAAACAGAAACCACCATTTTGTGTGTTCCCCCACTTTTGAGACAAACCCATGTTCAGACCCTTTAAGCACAATGAAGGACAGCCCTCAGACAAAACTAGAGCTCAGCTGGTCGGCATCTCACGCCTAGCCAGCTAGGCTGGCCGGTGACGCCAGACACTGAGCTCAGGCTGCTAGCCTCGCCCCCATTGCGTGCTGGCGGGACCCCTCTGCAAAACGTTGTCCACTTTGTGTGGGTCCAATACAGAAGAAATCCATCACCAAGTTTTAACCAGAAAGTGGTCCAGTCCAAAGATCCGCTACCAAATCGCCATAAAGCCATGGCATATTTTTTCAAAATACGGCGCCTTTGGCACTGGATCCTTCAAAGAAATCAGCCATGTTGACATCGAAGGGGGCGTGATGCCCCCAATCTTGCCCCCATGGCTTTTGCCTGCCGCAAATCACAAACAAATGCAACAACGCACAACAACAGAACAAGAGCTGCGGTTTAACGTGATAACACACAACAACGCAACGAGCAAAAAGCTGAGTGCCCGAAATCCATTGAAACAGATCTGTGGAAATCCACTGGAAAAACACACCCAACCAAGAGACTGAGGCACATGGAGTTTTCCAAGGTGTCTTTCCAGTCTCCACCTTTGAAACAAAGATGACGCACGTCTGCCTATGGAAACCCAGCACTGGAGCCCTGTCTTGGGCTATGATCCGCTGATTTCCGCTGTCTGGTGGCAGGGGGTTTGGAACTTCAAACTCTAAACTACAAACCTGAAATAAGAATTGGATCCCAACAGGACCTACATGGCTTTGCTTCACCCTTAGCTCGCCAAATATGCCGAACTATTCTGTCGTAGGAAAGCCAACTCCAGTTGTGGGATAGAGTGATGCTCCCGCGGAAACCCGGCTGTTGAGATGGCGTACGTAATTGCCATTATTACTGGTACTCAAACGCGAATCAATTCAAAAGTATGAACACCATCAAATGCACCAACTAGTAGGATACCTAAATTTGCCAACTTAGACCGCAAAAATTAAGGATAGCACAGAGAAGTTGAAGATGAAAGTACTCCACAAATAAAATCGTTTAAACCAAAGAAAATTGGGCGTACAAACATTTTGGAATATAAACTACCCAAACCTGGCATTCAAAAGGAAAATATAATTTACAAAGAAAGTTCAAGACAAATATGATAAAGAAAGTAATAGTAGCCGCATTCTCTGGGCTGGTCTTTGATCCCCTATAACAACAGCGCTTGCTTGCTGGGGTACACAGAACATATGTTTACGTAGATGATGTTGCCTTTTAATCACTCCCAACCTATAAGACGATTTTTGGAGGAGACCCCAGGCAGAGGCATCTTCCCAAAACTGCAACTTAAGGGTTCAAGCAAGCAGCAGTCAGCTCTTGGACGACACGGAGGGACTAGTTGAAGTTCCGTACGGCAACCCCCGGCCCCCCATTGTGCCATTTCAACCTGGGCTGATTCTACAAAGTTCGCCAGACGCCCGATCGCAATTGAAAAGCCACTAAAAACTTCGGATTTGGAGGGTCAAAAATAACCAAAATGGGTTGCCCGATCGGTAAATGGAAACAACGACTCAAGCCTCTGGTCCATGTCCTGGTGGACTTTTGTACCAATTTGCAGATTGCCTTTCAGCCCATTGCCAATAGGACAAGGCCTTGGGTGCCCACATGCTGACTAGTGTCACGGTGAGACGAAACTCACTCAACAAGGTAACAAGCTGTTCAAACCATACCCGGCTGGACAACAAGAATATCTGCACGAGTTGCTACAAACCCAACCAGAGTTGCGGAATGCTCACGCAAGGGACCTTCATGACAGGGGCCTCATTTTCCGGTTGCAAGGGAGGCACCCCTGCAGGCGAACGAAAAAGGACATCTTCCCCCACCCTGGTGTTTTTGCACATCCTCCCTCGTTTTTGTGATCTTCCGGCACAAAATAAGCCCAGGAGATATCCCCAACAGCATGCGGCGCACTTTTTAGTGCTCGCACCACCCCGCAGCCCTTGCAGAACGTCGAACCCTCGAAAAAACCTTGGTGGAACCCTGGTGGAACCCTGTGGAACACTCGTGGAACCTTACGTCAGGGCCACCCCGGACCACCCCGGAGCCTATCTGGGCTGAGACCCCCAAGCTTTCAGCTGTCGGGGCAAAAACGCTTTGCCAAAAGCGCCTGCACAGCTGCGGAAGACCAGGTGCCAGCGTCCAGGGCGGATGCCAGGGGGAGCCTGGTGTGGTCAAACTACCAGCTCGCTTATAAAATGAGGGCTGCCAGGGCTCCGCCTAACTGGGTCTTCGCTTTTTGATCGTGGGGAAATGCCGACCTTGGAGCCCTCTTGTCGCTTCCAACTGGACCATCGACTCGTCGTTCTGACAAATATCACCGGATCAGACCGTGGATGGTTGCGAAATCCGCTTCTCGCACCGCAAAATGAACCATGGTTGAAATCATTACGTGTGCTGCGGTATTTGCAGGGGAATCATCTTTTAAAAAGGGCTTCTTGGGTGGTGCGAGATGGATTTTGTCCATCGATATGATCCAAACCCCCTACCCAATCGTGCCATTCCCTGGGTTCTAACCGAGGCCTTGATAGGACCTTAGGGTCTTAGGGGTTAGGCGAGGAGGGTTTGGATGCCAATCCCATGTTCTCATCGCCTGGGGTTCGCCCCCTAAGAATTACTGCATATCCCAGAAAAATCCCGTCCATATCCGTCCATATCCGTCCATATCTCTTCTCCTAAGTCATGTTGCCAAAGACTCACAATCCCCAATTGGGGCAATTGTCAAAATAATCCGCCTTTAAAATGTTGTGTATGAGGGGGCACCTAAATTGGACTGGTGACAGCATGTCTGATATGGCAACCCCGCCCTAACTCCTCCAACGCTTGGTTTCCTCCAAATAAGTCATGGTTTTAGGGTCCATGATTCTGCTGGTTGCTAGAAATGTTGGAAACGTCTCCTTCAAAAGGAGCCGCAAAAAGGCACGGTCAACAAAAGACCCACATGGGACCCCGCGTTCTTTGGGGTCCGTGTTTGGGGCTGTCGAAAGGGAAGTGAGAAGCAACAAAACAGCACTCTTTGGCCAGCGTTGAACCTTAAAAGCCTAGGATATGAATCTCTACTTCCAGCAACAGGTTAGTGAAGGGCAAAGATTCAAGATGTCACGAACCGTTGACCCGGCTTCCTCTGAAGACAATTCAACCTCATATATCCAGCGTATCGCTCCAGCCCCCGCCCCACCCCAGTTTGGTCCAACGGCCGGAAATCCCTCCCTTCAAAGCCCAAAGCTGCAGCCGGCCCCGACCTCAGCACCGCCCCAGCGCTGTCCGCCACCAGAAGCTCCGAGGAACCCAAAGCCAGGCCCTGCACGACCCCAAGAAGCCAAGGTTCCAGCGGATTGGCGCAAAAAAGGTCTGAGCTTTCTATGAAGCACTAACCAGGTCTTCCCAAAACAGTATAAAGTCCAGGAACTCAGGGAGTGAGATGTAGACGAGATGTAGACTTCAACCCAGATCATCTTCCCAAAAGAGCCAGTCTAAGTCTGCCTTGCTTGTGGCCAAAACGCACAGAACGCTGCGAATGCTTCCAGTGACTGAAGATGGACGAAAGCCGTGCACAGTATTGCTTTTTGGGCCACCCTGTTCCCACTCTAAACCTGTTCTCTGACCTCTTAGTCGTTTGGTTCATACCTTAAGTGGGTGGAATGCATGTGACACAAAAGGTATAGCCTTGTAGTACAATAATTCAAAACGGGCCCGGCACTTTGGGGAATCAATCCGTAAGGATTGGAACAGTTGAATCCATGCGTTGCATCGAAGCCCCAAGACTTGGAAGCCTACGAACATCCAACGGGAAAACGATTGTCCAATTCAAAGCAGTTGACTTCCACATCTCAGTCCCTCAAAAAGGATGGTGGGCCAACGCACATTGGTTACCAAAACCAACTTCCCAAAAAGTGGCTAAGGGAGCTCAGAGTCCCGGTGCGTCCCAGTTGCACCGTAGGTAACCCGGCGCCCTTCTCCATGTAATTACCTTTGAGAGGGTGCAAAACCCCTTGGTTGCCTACTCGGTGGTTTTCCTTCCTGAGCGGCAAGGGTCCCAAGTGGGTCCCAAGCCACTTGGCTCCGTTGGATCGAACTGAGTTGCCTGGCAAACCCCAGCCCTTCAAAATGGGGTGCCCCATCTGAATTCCCACCGGCGACTTCTGCAGGATCTTGATGAGCTTCGCACAGCCCGGCGGAGGCGGAATACCTTAAGATTCAATCTAGTCATGGTTCTAGAAGTTTACAATTGCTAATTCTCTGTTGCCCAAAGGACCCAGGAACAAAAGGGTAAACAAGGGTAACCTATTGGCACCTTTACAAAAATGTGCCAGCATGGGAAATCAAAAGATCAAAAGGTCAGCTTTGAGCAAGCGACCCGCTAAAAGGGGACACCCCCTTCAACAACCAGAGGTTCAATCCAGGGTTCCCAGTAGCCAAGGGGAAAAACCAGAACCGTCGCGGAACCCGCCCCGGACCACGGAACTTTCGCGGAGCTTTGCAGAACTCTCGCAGAATTCTCGCAGAACCCTCGAACCTTACCTGAGAGCCGTCCCAGACTACCGCAGAGCCTATCTGGGGCGCAATCGGGCCCGGCCGGGCCAAGCAAGCCCGGTGCAAGCCGCGTGAAGCTCCAAACCGATCCAAGCCACCCATAGCTCACCGCCGGTTTTGCATAGGATGCCGCCTTATAGCTGTGGAAAGCAAAGTTGGGCGACGCCATGGTACGAGCCCGACCGAGGCTTGACGGTGCATGGGGCCCCGCGGCCCGATGGTGCAAGCGGCGCCCCCGCGCGAAAGTGCAAACCGCTGTAACTTTTGGAGTCGCGCCCTGATCGGGGCCCGACGGCGCAATCGGGGGTGCAATCGGGGCCCCGAGCGGGGCCCGACGGTGCATCGGGCCCCGACCGGGGCCCGATGGTCCCGTGGTGCAAGCGGGCTCCCACCAACCTCAGCCACGCATATAGCTGAACGCCGGTTTTCCTTGGACGCGGCCTTACAACAAAACTAGGCGATGCCAGCTTGGTACAGCTGACGAGGCCCGATCGGGGCCCGACACAATTGGGCCCCTGACGGTGGAATCGGGCCCCGACGTGGGCCCGTGAACCTCGGAAACCGTCCTTGTGGAACTTGGTGGAAACCTCGTGGAGCGTTTGTGGAACCCTCGTGGAACCTTACCCCTTTAGCCCTCGCAGCCTCGTGGAACCCTTGGAACGCAAAGCCCACCAAGTAAGAAATGCCAAGCGTTTAACTGCGGCGCACTGAGTCCCGCAGCAACCTGAGCTGATTTGCCACCAAGCCTCTACAAAGCAATTCCGATGCCTTTTCAGACGGCGCACGACATGTTCCCTTGTCGAACCTTGCAGAACATTTGTGGAACCCTTGTGGAACCTTGTGGAGCCTTGTGAAACCCTTGTGGTGGAACCCTTGTCGAACCCTGCTATAACTCTGCGGAGTGCTGGGGAACCTTACCACAGGGCCACCCCGGACCACCCCGCAGCCCTCGCAGAACCTTATAAAACCCTGGAACTGTGGTGGAACCTGGTGGAACTGTCATGGAACTCCTCAAACCACCCCGGACCACCCCGCAGCACATGGTGGAACCCTGGTGGAACGCTAGTGGAACCCTCGTGGGAACCTTGCCTCAGGGCCACCCCGGACCACCCCGGAGCCTATCTGGGCTGAGACCCTTGCAGCTGTTGGGGAAACAAGTACAGAAGGTTTCAACAGCAACCAAGTCTAATGGATGCTTTGGATTGTTCAGGGGAGTGTCCCTTCAGGCTTGCCATTTGTAACCCCCATGAAACCAAGTAGAAAACAGAAAAAAAAACTCAGGTGATATCCCCAACAGCATGCGGTGCTCTTTCTAGTGCTTGCACCACCCCGTGGAACCCTGGTGGAACCCTGGAGTGGAACCCTGGTGGAACCCTAGTGGAACCCTGGTGGAACCTTTGTGGAACCTTACCTCAGGGCGCCCCGGACCACCCCGGAGCCTATCTGGGCTGAGACCCCAAAGCTTTCAGCTGTTGGGGAAAAAACACTACCACTAGAGGTTCTGGAAAGAACACAATGCCGCGACCAACCGCCTTCGGCTCTGAGAAGCCGCTGGCCGCCGTCACGGTGATGCCAGTGTCTAGGGCCAGCACCCTGACCTCCCAACCCCCCCCTGGAATCCATGCACCTAGACTCGCCTTGCTCATAGGCGTCCTTTTCGGGGAAATAGATGGGTTTCCCTGGAAAATTATGAAACCACCAGGTAAACCAGGAATCGCCATCTATGTTTCGAGCAAAACAACCAAAAAGGTCGCCTGTGGACTTGCTGGTTCGATAGGCAGGGAATGAGTTGGAATGACCCCGGACCCCCCATATCCCCCCATAAACAATCCTTTGTGGTTTCCTTTGAGGGAATCCCAAACGGTTCATTCCCAAAACCCTGGGTCATTCCCTGACCAGCAAGTAGATGAGGGCTCCATTTTTTGACAAGCTCTTTTTCTTCCGGGGGCGTCAACCACTGGGTTTAAGTCTACCTTGTAGTTAGAAACATGGAACCCTTAAGTATGTCGACAGGGGCAAACACCTCCAGACCCCTCCCAGGGAGCAAGCCCTGTTTTTTCCATATTTATCTAAGCAGAAGGGTGCGAAAGGACCACAACCACCTAAGGATGGTTGTTACAAGAGTGAAACTACAGGTGTTGAAAATGGGTGGTTCGACCCAACACAAAAGGAGGGGTGTTAAACAGAAGGACCCTCCAATGAGCAAGCCGGACAAATCTTGCAGCTTACGTAGTCTACAGGTTCAGTACACGACATGGTTTCACCAGACACGACATGGTTTCACCAGATTCAACATTCATGTCAGCAAAGCGCCACCAACTAACCAAAATAACGAGCAGTAGTATTGACAGTTTCACAGGTTAGTTTCGGAGAGGTTGGCTTCGAACAAGTCCGGAAAAACACGCAACAAGAAGCCCGCCCATGAGAAGTCACCACATTTGGGCTGATTCGAACATGCAGGAAGACTCGTCCTTCCAGGAACCGGACAAACATGTCTCACTCCCTCCGCCTGTCTGAGAGACCCCTTTGCTTTTAGCGGAACAGCTTGCCCAAAAACCGTGGAACAAACAAACATGGGACGGCCCAAGGACCTGCAAACTAAACTACCTCGTTTGCGCGAAACCCCCCCTGCCCAAAAACCTACGGACGTTGGACACACGAACACAAGAATCTAACGAAATCTCAAACCTGTGCTTCCAGTTACCACAGTAGGTAACCAGGATGTACAACCGCAGAGGTGAACATGATTGCCTACAAAGGTCACTGGCACCGGGTCAAACCAAACGTCCCATCCCCGATGGGCCGGCTAGTCGCCACATACCACGACCCAGGCGTGCCTTGCCATTGCCAGTGTCTGCCACAAAGAGCCTCGCAGTCTCCAATGAGTCAAAATCAAAACCTGGTGCAGAACGGGCTTCTCAACATAAGGGACTTCCTCCTTGGTTTCCGTTTGCTCACCCAAACGGGGGTCCTCTGTGTATAGGATAAACCTATTTGGGGCAGGGGCTTCCACACTGCCCTCGTTTTGAACCCCCCAACAAAGGAGGTGGGGAACACCCAAAACGCGATAGCAAGGTCAACCTAGAATATCATATAATTATCAAACAACATGTGTGTTTCTCTCAACATCGGGCACCGATTCCTCCAGGTGGGTCACTTCTTTTTCGTTTCACCTTCACGAACCATCCAAAACGGGGTCGCCTGGATTGAAACCACACCCACATGGCAACCCATTTTGATGTGTCAACCAACTTGGGCAGAGACCAAAACAGCGAAGCGGCACCAGTTGCTTTGGAAGGCACAGCTTCTGAGTCTGCACCAGGCCCAAAGGCTCGGCCAGTAAGGCGCCGCCCGTGGCGGTGCCTGGGCCAAGTCCCTAACAGAGGTGGTGGTCCAAGGGGGGGGTGGTTCCCTAAAAAACCGTACGGAACCTAGAACCTCTCAACTACCCACTCACTCCAAAACCAGTGGTTACCAAAAAAATGAGCAGAACCAACCGTGAAGTGGTGGGGACAAGTGAGCAAACATAAGACTCCGAGTAATTAGTGCATGTGTCTCAAAATGTATCAAAATAAAATTGGACATCCTCCGAGTGTTTGGTTTCGCTTGGCATTTCCCATCCAACCGGCATCCTATGTCATCCTTTCCTTTTCGGCCAGGATGGGGTTTGATGTTAACGAGAAACAATTGCTCTACTTGGATGATTGAAGTGGGGCAACAATTGCATACTTTAGTTAGTAGGTAACAACCCCAAGGGGACCAAGTCCAGTTGCCCCGATTGGAAATGGGCCGGTACCACGGAATCAGGTTTGATGCTGATTGGATGCTAGGGCTGAACTGAGATACCTCCTAAGCGTGTCTGAAATGCGCGTAAGCCTCTAGCGAAGTAGTCAAGGAAGAAGTAGGAAGGAGCAGAAAGAAGAAGCAAGAAAGGTAGCAGGAAAGGAGAAAAGAAAGAAGAGAAGGAAGTTTTGAACAAAAGGTAAGAAAGCAACTGCAAGAAACCAAAGAGAAGCAAGCAGCAGAAGGAAGAAGAGAACCTCAGAACTAGCTGGGCTTAGCTTCTCCTTCCGATCCAGGGGTCGGGATAATGACCAAATAACACATCTGTGAGAGGTTTACATGAATGGCATCGGCACAAGCGGAATGGGCCCGCCAAATGTTTTAGGGGACGGATGAAGATCAACCAGTTATAGAGCCACGGTATTTTACGACAGTACACCAACCAGTTTTTCAGGTGCCTACATAAACCATTGCTTCATTCAGGAAATTCATCCTACACCATTTTGCACCTCCCCTGATCAATTCTGGGTCGATGCTTCCGGACCCGTTCTCAAAGCGGACTCCACGAGAACCAAAGGGCTTCAAGGCATGAAAGGCCGAGTCTGGATTCGGAGGCCAAGTCTCCGGGGAAGAGGCCGATGTAGAATGGGCGAAGAATATGTTTGGACATGTTATTGGGGTCTCCTCAACCACCTGATGTTCTTGGGTTGACCAACATGAAGCATAATCTGACCCTATCATGCTTGGTGTACCCTGAGGGGACAAGGTTAGACATGTTCTTCCATTTGCTGAAGAATATATTAATAGGTGTTCCCTCTTGGTTTTAATGGGAATCTGTCACTTTCCCCTCTTGGCGTTCAAGCGAATCTATCACTACTTGCAAGTCTTCTAATTTCTTTCAGGGGACAAAAGCTGAAATGGAGGTGTTTGGTTGCCAACAAGGACACGATGGTGAACCAGAGCCGAAACTTTGAAAGGGGGCCACGGAACAGAGCTCAGGAACCTGCTTGGACGCTCAACCAACCTAAGTAGGTTACCCTGGTGAGGAAGTGGGACAGAGGTTGGTTGACACACTCTAGATTCTATCAAACGTAAGTTCAGCATCCAACTATGAGCCCTCTCATGCAAGCAGGTTGGAACCCGGGTTAGGTGGTACGTTGAACATGAACTTGGGTGAACATCCAAACTTACCCACTCATAGGAACTTCATGTCAGGTTCATTCAGCCAATTGGGTCCGTTTTGTCTTGGCCCCCTGGCCATCTGCGTCTCCCCGCACGCCCAGCTGCCCCCAGATCACCTGGCGGCTAGAACCCAAGACATCGGGAGTTGAGTGAGTCCGCTGGTTGCAAATCGAAGTTTTCACATGACATGAAGCCTATTGGCTGACTTGCAATGCAACCCAAAAGACAGCTCACGTTGAACTTTTGGAGTACTTTTTCTGGGCCTTCCAAACACGCCGCGAAGAAGGAATCCCCCAAAAGGGGCCTTTCTCATTGGCAAGCTCAAGTTACCGCGACCACCCCGCCAATCCAAACCCATGCGAGGGGAAAGCTGGTTGAACTTTTCCAACCGCAAAACAAAACAACAAGACGACACAACATGGCCGAATCTGAGCAAGTCATCGAGGATTCTAGGGTTTCCACTCCCCAAGCCAGCCTGAAGGGAAAATTGGGGGAACACAACCGCTATATACTCTCACATGTCGCGGTTTTGTGGGGAATGGACACCCCCTTAGATGGACATCTACCAACTGCTCCGGATGTCTGTGACGTTGATCATAAAACGGGGGGGGATGATGCCTAGATTGGACGACGCCCACAGTCTTCAACTGGCAGACAGGCGAGTGGATCTAAGTGAAACAAGCACGCAATCCAAACATACCAAAAACAATCAAACAAGCGCATGTATTTGGAGTAGAGGCCTTGAAACATGAATGTGATTCCTAATGGCCTTGAAAAGGGTCTCAACCGTCTGTCCCCAATAGAACCCCATCAAACTACACACACACACACAAAACACGCACTCTCTTCAAATTGGCAACCATAAGGTGATGACGAACCCAGTGCTGGACCTAGTCTCTTAGAGTTTCGCAAGTCAATTTTTACACCCAACAGATCGTGATGTGCTACGAGTGTCGGCTTCAAAGTGACCTGACTTGTAAAGACTGCCCATCTTGCTGGGCGAAATTGAATTGCCTCTAAGGAATCGTCACTTTCTCGGCGGAGGACGAAAAGCAAGCAAGAGACTACGTCAGAGTGCGCTGAGACTGCCTTCAGTCAGAAACTTCGCAGCCATCCGATAACATGAATCCGAAGCTTCAGCTCCTGAAGGTTGACCCCGGCCATGGTGTGGCAACCAAAATTAAACGATCACAGGGGCAAACCGCAGGTTTTGGCCCATGCTTCCACTTGCCAAGGTTCCATTCTGGGTACCGGTTTTTTGAGCCGCAGCCATGTGTTTAAGAGGGTGTCTGGAGAGAACAAGTGCCCATTTCCTTGTGGCTTCGTTTTGGGGCAATTAGGAAAGCAGGCCATTGAGCTTGGCCAAACTTATCTACACACAAATGTTGGCTTCTGGCTACAAAAAAAGGTGAAGGACTCCCAAAAGGGAACACGAGCCACATACGAAACCATTTCAACTTGTCCTTGCCTTGAATATCGAAGTTAATACCGAAGTGATGCTACACCCAGAAATAAGCTAAACATTCCCGCCACAATGGTGGCTTCCTTTTGGTCTGGTGGAAATTGGTGCCAATCCCGAGGGTCGCGCACCCCCAACACTATTTAGGGTTAAATGTTGGGCCCACAACGCTTTTAAGAGTTTCTGTTAGCCCCCAGACACCTTATAGGGTTTATGTTTGTCCCACCCACGCGTTTTAGGGTTTATGTTGCCGCCACCGACACCTTTTAATTTAAGTGTGGGCCCCACCAACACCTTTTCGGGTTTTTGTTGGCCCCATCAACACCTTTCAGGTCTTATCTTGGGCCCACCAACACTGCGTTGTGGTTTACGCTGGCCCCACCAAAATGGTGTTAGGCTTATGTTAACCTCCAAACACATTCTAGGGTTTTTGCTGGCCCCACAACCACATGTTAGGGTTTACGTTGAATGTTGGCCTTAGGGTTTATGTTGTCTTTAGGATATCCATAGCTGTCGAATATCCTAGGGCTGGTTCCTGCTGCGGATAGACAAAATCCTGCACCACCTATAAGGTTTGAGTTCTTCCATCCACAGTAAGACTAGACTCCAGGTCCCTAGGTCTCCAAAAGGAAACAATTGCCCCCACCCTTTGTGCTTTGACCAAAGGTTCCATAAGCGCTCGCCGGATCCCGGATTGCACCTCCACAGAGCCATCCATTCCTGCATAAGAACGTGCCGGAGAGGGCTAATCTGTTTAACCCACTTCCTGAGGGGATGGGCCAAAAAATTGTCGGAACTTCTGGTTTGCACTAAAACAGTCTTCGCAAACAGTAAGCTCAGGGAGTGAGTTGCAGGCACCAGCTTGATTGAAAACAACTTGCAGAAAGCATAAAAACAAACGGCCCCCAAAGAAAGTCGAGGGAAACATCCCACCCAGCTCGAAGGATGCTCATACGCATATACACGCATAATGCGAGATTCGGATTCATGGGGCGCGGCTGTATCTTTTGAATCCCGGAAAAAAAAAGAAGAACAAAAAACACATCATTCGCAGAGGGAGCTTCTTTTAGGGGACCTCCTGTTGAGCTCCATGTTTAGGTGCCCATGGGATATACTTTTGGGGTTGGTTTCCTTGGGACCCTTGGTCTTGCGGCCTGGCTTGTTTTGTACCTTTGGGCTTCTCTGAGGAAGTGGCCCGGGTTGTAACATTTGGGTTTGGGTTTAGGGTTCAGGGTACAGGGTTTAGGGCGTAGGGGTCCATCCCCCAGTTGACTTGCTTCGGGAAGCTGAACCAACAGCCGGGCCTTTCCGGAACATAGGGAGCCCACAACACCCCCAAAGTGACACCCCAATGATTCAAAGAAGGTCCACCAAATGCAAGCCCCGTTTGCTACCTCAGCTATGCCCAATGAAAATCAGTCTACAAGATCCAGGGACCTGTTCAAATCCGAATCCAAACCAATTTAACCCATCACTCAACTTGCTGGTTCTTAGTAGGGAATGAATTGGAATGATCCCTACAAACACTTCCCTGTGGTGTTCTTTTGGGACCCAACCGGTTCATTCCCACCACCCGCACGTTACCTGACTCATTGCTCATCCAGCCCCCCCTCTAGTCCCCACCGCGCCTAGCGCCAGCACCACATGCTGCGCCTCGTCCGTCGCCACCAGTCTACCACGCCAAATGTCCACCGCCAAACCCCCCAGGCGACTGCCCGGGGCCTGACAAAAAGGCATCATGACAAAGAATGTGTTTGTGCACATGTATGTCTAACTATTTGAATTCTTACTGGGTCTATGATCAAAGCTGAGATGCGAACACATTTCATACATACACCTAGGTTTCAGCATTCCTCGCCCGCCAACCAGAGCCCCCATTCCTCCTTGCCACTCCCAATTGCCTCCGGAACTGTGGTTTCCTTGTCAAGCCAAATGATTCGAAAAGGAGACTGGTTGCTTTGCTGCTGTCCTGGGACAATGGTCTGGTCTTGTTTAAGGTCAATGTAAACCATCGGAAACTAATCCCCGACTTCTTCAGGAGTTCATCCTGTCGCCGCTGCTTGATCTTGATCCATCGTCGAAAGGATGTGGCCTGCAGAGAAGCCACCTTCTTGTTCCCTTTTCTCCATGATCTGCCCCACAATTCAAAGATATCCTCCGATGAAACATCGACGATGTTCAGAATCATCTTGGCCGGCTTCTTGGTGAGGTCTAACCATGCCGCAGTTTGACGCTCCCACTCATCTTTACAAGCAGTGATTGTTACCGTACAGGAATCTTCGATGGTGATGGAGTGGTTTTGCAGCTTTTGCACCTGAATCTTCTTGTTTCGAAATTGAAGTAGCCAGGCTTGGATGATCACATGATTGTCTGCTTGATCATAGGCGCAAAATTCAACTTGCTGACATGGCACTTTCGTCTGCTGAGGGAACTTCTGTAGACTCAAGAGAGCCAGTTCATGAAAGGGCAGTCCCAATTGCACCTGCAATGCGAAAGCCAACCTGCATCAACGCTAAGCCCCAACCAACCCAAAACCAAACCTGAAGATCATGTATAGCTACAACAAAGTAAAGGCATGTATATACCCTTCAAGAATGGATATGTTCATTCCCAGAGCAATGACTGAGCTGAAAAGACTCAGCCTAAGATGCGCTATGGATTTTACATGCCGAACCAGCGAAAACGAAGATGCCCCACAGGCTTCATTCTAGGCATTCCAGGACCTCAAACAGTGAGCTGAACAGCTGAAATGCAGCTCCATTTGGAGCGCCACCTTTTGATAAGTCTTGGCAACCACTGGTCAGGGTGGCTCCCCGTGATCTCATTTACCTATGTGGGTAACCAAAGGGGTGGGACCCACCCTTAAAAAGCCAAACAGAAATGGGATACGGAGGGTCTCAGGGGATCCACCGGGTGTGACACCGCAATCCAAAACCAAAGGGAAAATTGCGAAGGGTTGCCTACTATCACTACAAAAATCCTCCAATTGGAGGTTTTGATAAGTGGTTCGGAGGCTAAGGTGTGGTTTCTCATATACCCACAAGAACCAGGGGTTCACATCCAAACCACCAATCCAAACTACCACAGGGTTGCCTGATTGCTTGAATGTTCAACAAACTTGGCAAGTAAGAAACAACGCTGGCAAAACGGACTAACCCCAGTGCCCCATCAACCATGGAGTCACAACCTACTCCGTTGGTAGCTTGAATACCATACACGACCATTGGAAAACCCAAAGATCAAAATGTCCATATTATGATCCATATTGGTCCATTGTTCAACAAGCAATGAGACAAAACAACAAAGTAATGGCTCACTAAACACGGGAAAACCCAAAGGTCGGATAAGGTCGATGGGCTTTGGGTTGAGACTCAGTTGGTCCCTGAAAATTGTGTTGGACTGTCCGTTGTCTGAGTTTATCTTGTGGGTTAAACGGACACCCAACCACAAAATCAACTAAAAAAACTAAACAGCTAAAAGCAACTAGTATTGGCCGCATATTCATCAACCCCAGTTTATCAATAGGGGGTGTTCCCCTCCACTAGTGATGATCCCCACTAAACCCACGGAAAAGCACCCCCCTATTCATAAACTGGGCTTGATTCAGGGGTCAACATGAAGACCCAACCCCAGGTTGTCTCAAAATAGAGTAATTTCCCAACAAACAACATGGATACCTGTCCTTTTGGCCCAAAGGGAACCATTCCCCACCAAACTCAGGGAAAAGCACCCCCCTGGGCCCCCTATTAATACACTGGGGTTGATTCATATGTGGTCAACGTTGAGACCCAAAGGAACCCTCTGGCAACTCCGAGGCGCTGTGCCCAGGTTCACCAGTGCCCCGCTCTGCGCCGCGCTGGGCACCAAGCACCCAGAGAGCTGGAGACCTCTTGAGAAGGAGAAAAACCGAGGGCAATTCAATCGGAAGATTTGGAGTTGCCATGGCGATTCGACTCACCAACCGCACCAATTACAAGACTCGAATGAAACGACTGGGCACTTCCTGAAGATGATTCAAGTGGCTTGTGAGTTGGTGGTGTGACCTTTCGATTGGTTATCGGAAGATTTGGAGTTGCCATCTGTGGTGATTAGACTCACCAGCCACACTCAACCAATTACACGAGTCTACTAAAACGAATGGTGTGGTTTTGGTGGTTTGTAAGTTAGTGAGTCTTGTAAAGCGTGGGATAGTGGGATGGGTTAGTGGGTTGTTGGTTGAGGTCAACGCGGTGCACAGTTCATGGACTGGGAAGAGGGATGGGAAGACAGAAACTGATTCCTGGTGGATCTTGAAGCAACCTAAGGTCATGGAACGTTTCTTGGGGTTGGGATGGGTCAGTCTGTCCAGTTTGAAGACCCGTTGCTCAGCTTCCCCCCAAGTGGTTTGGTGGTTTGGTGGTTTGGTGGTTTGGTGGTTTCCCTTTTACCCCTAGAAGCAGGGCCCGCTCAAATCCCAACTCATGCAACCCATTTGAAGGTTCTTGTGGAAGTATTGTATACATGGAGTGTTTGGGTATGACAACTGTCTTGACTTTCATAGGGGATTCCCTGGTGTGATATACCGACAGTGGCCCTAAACCAAAAAGAACGGTGTGGGTTTGGTTGGTACCATATTCATCTTGGCGTCTGCCGTCATCGCTTTGGTAAGAGCAACACATCAAATGCTAGCATCTGTTAACATTGCTACATTCACTACCAAATAATGAGGGTTCAAGCCAAGGACGGGACACAGATACAATAAGTACCAACGGAAAGTATATAAGGGACATCCAAGATGAACAAAAATGAGGGACATAACTTAACCAAATCCCCTGAGGTCACTAGTCATGATTTGGGTATGAATCTTAATTAGGGGCTCCTTGGTGGACATCATTTAGGTAGGGGGTTCATACCAAGAAATCATGTGGAAGGCTGGTTCCCCATGGAATCTAACAGCAATTTGCCTTGTCTAAAAAACCAAGAATTGCCCCCAACAGCATCGGCCAAAATAAACTCTTTGGGACTTCCCTGGACTCCACCAAAAAAAAATAGAAAAGAAAGTGTGGTTTCCTGGTGGTGTTCCTTTGAAACCACAACACCACCAGGAAGGCACCCTCACGCGCTCAATTAAGAGCCTCCGTCGGTGCAGCTGAGGTTGGCTGCACCGAAGTGCCAGGGACCCTCGCAGGACACAGTGCAGTTGGGCACCTGGCGAGGACGCCGCGAAGTCACTGGATCCCACAGGTTGATCCGGTTCCCCTGGGGCGGACGTGGCTTTCTGGATACAAGGGTTAGATCAAGGCTACTTTGTCTTGGCAAGAGTTCACAAGCCCGCCAAAGACACTGATGGAATGAGCACCAGCCAGAGTGTGCTTCCATTGCCAGCTGAAAATAAGAAGAAACGGCTTAAGGAAACTTGCTGGTGCTCAGCAGGAAATGAGAGAATGCTCCCTACAAACCATATACCATGCCGTTTCCTTTAAGGGCACCTGGGTCCATTTCCGCATTCCCTATCGCACCAAGGGAACTCAGGCACCAAACGTGCCCCTGATTTCTCGCCTCTTCCAGCGCCAAGGGCTCAGCAGTGTTGCAGTTGATGAGGTACCCGCTCGGCAACGGCACGGGCCACCGACACCTGCGCTTACCGCACGTTCCGAAACCAACGCGCGGTACGTAGCGATTGCGTGACTCAGCTGCAGATGTCCATAGAGAATAAAAGGGTCACAATTTGTTTGGTAGTTGCTGCGGGCAAATCCCCAGGAAAAAGAAGAACACTTCATGTCCAGTCTGTTCCTTGGATCTTGGGAGGGATAGGGTTGCAGGAAACAAACCGCGAGTTACCAAGCGTAAAGAGCTAATGCGGAAAGCCAATCCCAACCCAAGTTGGGTCAAATGTCACTGTTTGGGTTCACACCGATGCTTTATGCGGGCAAGTTCCAACAGTACAAAACACGTTCGTGAAACCTTGCGCATCGGCCCTGACGTCAGCATACCATCGACGTGGTGGGCGGAAAAAAGGCCGGTCCGCGGGGGTTGCCAAGCCGCAGTGCCCCAGCAAACTCCACGCTCAGCAACGCCACGAGGATCAGGTGCCAAAGCATCAGAGCGCCTGTTGCAAAAGGCGTAAACGGACTGCCAAAGTCCACTCAATGAGGCCACAACCACTGCTTTGGCGGACACTTGTGGATTTTGGACACGGTTGAAAAAGCTGGTCAGGGTCCTGGATGTTGTACACCCTCGTGTGGACATTGCTTTGAAGTTCAAAGCATGCATTGGGTATGCCGAAAGAAGGCACTCATCCCAGTCATGTAACCTTGGTAACTTGAGGTTTATGAGAGGGTTTCCATTGTTCCCCTACTAGCAACGTGGCTGCGTATAGTGGACAGTCCAAAAGGAAGGGGGGCTTGTAATTGTAAGAGGGTTTAATGCTTGCCCTCCTGCAGCCTGGCATTGCAACCAAATGCCATCAACATCAACATTGGGATAGTTGATTTGGGTGAACATCCTTGGTACCATTTGATTTGGGTGAACATTTGAGTTTACTAGGAACCATTTGGTGAACATCCTTTACATGAGGATGGATGCCCAGCTTCCCATTCGAAGAGTCTTCCCCATTGAAATTCACAGCCAAGGGAGCGCGAGGCTGTCTTTCTCTGTGCCAGCGAAAACGCCGAGCCTTCGGGAGCGCCATGACTCTAACAGCATCACATCCCGGGTCCCCAAATCGCTGAAGCGTGACGACATATCTTGCGCCTCACTGCCTGACGTGTCAGCTGAAAGCTCCTAAGACAATCCAAAGTATTGGTGTTCCGCTTAGATTGACAAAAATACTAAGCCAGGAACGGGGGTAGCAGTATAACATGGTTTAATTTCCGTTCCAATGGCTGAATCAACTGCTGGACGACTGGTGTGTTTTGAGTTGGATGTTGCTGGGTTCATGATTGAACGTTTCCTCAAGTGACGTGCGATCCTACGCTTATTCTTGCACTCCATGACTGCCTCGCAATCTGTCCCCTACTTGGATGGTCAACCTCCTAAGTAGGTCATCGCCAAAATTGTATGTCAACCAACCCCTGTTGTCCCACTTCAACCAGGGTAATAACCTGCATGCTGAATAGGTTGAACATCCAAGCAGCATGAAAACCAGGAAATCCCCTGCAAACAAAGCCATGGACATCCCCCGAAGCCCTGCCCTCGCTCAAGCCAGGGCTGCAGACGGCATCGATTGGCTTCAAGAAGCTTGTTCAACCGGGACTTGTTGCCCCGCTGCAATCCATATGGAATCCATTTGGGCTGATTTGCCAGTCCCAGAGAGAGCCGCCGGGCACGTAACAGAGGGCAAGGAGCTGCGACAGACAAGCCGAAACCAAAATATTTCAGGACCCAGTTCCAAGGCCTTGCCTTGGCCCAAGACCCTAAATATGAAGGCCGACCCCCCAAAGACATGAGTCATGTGACCCTACACTTGGGTCACAAGACGGCGTCTGGATTCACCTCATCTTGCAACCAATCCGCATCCATTTCGCCACGGGTCCCGGCCATTTGTTCGAACTCCGTACCCTGAACTTAACAGAAGGGGGGTGACTTAGACGCTGCTGGGCCGGGTGTCCGTGAACTTGCGAACTTGCGCAACTCCGAGACCGAGGGCTTGGTGCCCTTGTCAGGTCTCAGAAAGTGCGCTTTGTCTGGATTCCCACGGGGGTACATGAACCCAAAAGAACAGGCTTCGAACCTTTTGGAAAAGATCGCCAACTCGTCAAAGGCGGTGTTGCAGGGTTTCTTCCACAGTTTCCTCCAAGAAGTGAGAAGGCTGTAAATGAAAAGTCCAAATTTGCTCATGCGCTCGCCATCCTGACTGCTTTCCCAAGGTGAAGATGTCGTATTCAACCTGAGATCAGGGTTCCTCCACAGGCTTTTGCCCATCATGTGCTTTGCTCTGGTCGATGTCTTTTCGAGGTTGGTATCCCTTTCAGCATAGATTGAAGGAAAGCAGGTTCTAATCATTTTAAAAGAGATCTCAGGTTCGTAACAGATCCAAAAACCTGAGCCGGATGCCGAGGGTGTCCCCTTTCTGCAAACCCTATCCCAGACTGAAAAGTTGGCAACCAGACTCCCTTTGACGGAAGCCAACCCAGAAAAAAATAAAACAAATGCTGCATCAAAACGTTTGCAGAAGTAGGGGTGTGTCTATGGCTTCGGTCTTCCCAAAAGGACACCCACCATAGTTTGGCGTCCCCCCAAACAATGGCACACATCAGGTATTGAATTATCCACCAACGCACCCATTTAGCTTGGTCCACATCTGCGGTACACAAAAAATAATATTCTAGCTTTGTTCCACATGCAGTTTTCCCATATAAAAATATTTCCGGGGATTGGAGACCCCAGCCACCGCCCCTGTGGGGGGCTTAACCTCCATGCCGCTCAGCGGAAGGTGGCTAGTCCTGGATGCCGCAATGTCATGCCAGGATGGTTTTCAAAATGCAAACCCTTCTAGGTCCTTCAGTAGAGAGCTTAAAATAAGGGTACCCGATTTTTGGTTCTGTAGTCTATTTTAGTGGGGGAACCCTCCCCCAGAAAAGGGTACAAGGGCACTACTGGGGGACCCAGCCGTAAAATGTCAATGTCCTCTCTGTCGGTAAGACCCCTGATTTCAACATAGGGGAATTGTGCTATCTACTTGAACCCAAGTGTATGGTGATCGATGCCCTTCAATGTCTGCGTCAATGATTCATACATTTGTTGTTGGTTTGATCCGGGGGTCTGGTGATCCGGATCACTGTCGGGGAAAATCCCGCGAAGTTTGACAAATGTGGCTGGCGATGGGTCGCTGCGAACGTTGGCGAACCCGACCAACATGTGCGAATGTGTTCGCGAAAAGACATCTAATTGCACCTTGCTGAAAGCATATGACTGAATTCCCATGGGTACAAGTCATTAGACTGGGCTGCCCTGAGATCGCCTGCTAAAAGCTTAACTTGTGGGTTAAATGGAGACTACCACTAAACCCAAAAAACCTAAAAACCAAGGGGATGGCTGAGAACCACCACGAAATGTACAACAAAAACACCAGCCGAAGTGGTGTTGTGCAAACCCGTGGGGCAAGCCTAGGCGAACCGCGCATGTTGTGTTCTCATTTCGTCCCCGGACATCTGCCAGGTTGTTGACATTCGCCCAGTACCAAGTCAACTATGCTGCAATTTCTAAAATATTTCAAAATGAAGTGCTCAGAAAAAGAATTGAAGTACAACCCTGGATGGTCGTAGAATGGCTTCCATTCTACGACCATCCAGGGTTGTACTTCTGACGCTGTGCAGAAATAGTGGCACATGAGGATGCCTGCACCTTCACTTCTCCAACTGAAATAATAAAACCTGTCAACTTATGCTTCATATTTTGACTCCCGATACCATTGTGTGTTTGTATATATTTTTTAAAGAACAGCGTACACCTCAAAAGGGTCCATACATTTTGCCAACGCCGTCAGCGTCAGAGGATAACCCTGCTGACCCTTCGCGAAGGAAAGAAGAACCACCGCACAGTGAGCGCCCGTCTCACCGACTCACCCATTGACATTTGGTTTTACCATGGTCACAAAGGTTCATAAAAGACTACTGTAAGTACAAGACCCATGAAGCCAGGTCGTACAATCTTTGAAGCAACTAAAGTGATCAGTAAGAATCGGTTTTAGTCACTGTTTGTATTGGTAGTCAACAAATCTCTGTACAACGAACACAAGTCTGTCTACCGGTACATGTTCCAAAAACCCGGTTTTCCAGGTCAATGCTCCTTGTCCGAGTCAGGCGCTGACATGACCCTGTTTTTGCATTCCCCAAGTTTCCCAAGTGATCCTATATTATAGCTATCCAGAACAACTAATGCAGTGGCACAATGTAAATGGTTGACAGCCGATGATCGAATCTCTGACCTTGCATACGCCTAGATCCGTAACGGCTCCCTTGCAACCACTAGCTAGCACCAAGCGGTCGGTTTCAGTGAAACCCAATTGCTGACGTTGGATACCTTTTACTTGCTGGTTCGACAGGCAGGGAATGAGTTGGAAGAACCAAGAAAAACCATCCCCTATGGTTTCCTTAGTTTGGGGATCCCTTCCGCAAAATATTTTCCAACACCCGGACTCGGTCATTACCTATCGCAGCAAGATAGACACCCAAGGCGCATGTCGCCCCTATGCAACGAGCCTGAAGCGAGGCGGGGGCTGGATGCTGGGCTCCTGGGGCCGACGCTTCCGAAGGGGGCTTCACCATGAGCTCGTTCCGCACGGTTCATCAGGTCCGATCAACACGGGATGACCATCGGGGGAACCCACTCAAAGAGAATGTTGCTTCCCACCTGGGAAACAAATACATAATATGGTCATCTGGGGGCCAGAAAAACTGATCAACCTCCACCTATGGGCTCGCTACAGCTTCTCCAGAGACTTCAACGTGTCCTTTTGGAGGGTGCCCCGCTAAAAGCGGTGGAAAACCACACACAACTAATCCGCAATTTCCGGGTTCTACCAGGACAAGCGGTAGTTGGTTCAGTTTGTTGCCCGCGGTGCGACTAGAAAAGTTGTTGTTGTTTTTTGTTTTTGTTTTTTTTCCCGGAGCCCCAAGAATTGTGGTATTCCTTTCTATCCTATAGCTGCTTCCCGCGCTCAGTTTGGGGCTTGCACATTCAGAATCAGAGCTGTGTTAAGCCCCACATGACCGCTATCCTTGGGGGACTTGCGCCCCAAAACCGCGGCGTTCTGTTTGGGCTCATTTTGAACTAGAAAGAGCAGCCTGAAATAAACCGCACACCCAAAGATCAAATACCCTCCTACCCCTTCGTTTAGACGGCCTTCACAAAGAATCGACAAGCGGCCCGTTTCCCGCTACACCCGGGCCGAAATCTGGAGGTTCACATTATGGCATGAAATTGAATGTGTATCTTCTCCCTCCTCGGTCTGTATCAAAATAGGGATCCTGTTGGCAATCCACCAATGCCAGGACCCGACTGCTTTTTGGACACGTGGGATTTTGCACGTGGGAGAAAAAAAAGCAGCTGTTGGCGGGGGGGGTGCTGGTGGAAGACGCCTAACTTGAGATGCCCCCTTTGAACATAATCCCTCCCCGCTGCACTGTCGAAACCCTCATAGTCTCGCTTCACGAGTGGATGGCCCCAAAAAAAGCAACCAAACTGTTTGCTTACCACCAAAAACCAAAAAGTGACTAAAGCTCCAGGATAGATTCCTTTGAGTCCTTACTGAGAGCCAACGAAACGACTCCCAAAAGGCTCCTCCATCTGCCGGACTCCAAGCCGCTTGGGCCAGGCGAAGGAAATGCAGGTGGGGGGTGGGATTGCCTAAGCCGGAGGTGGTTGGCCGAGTGGTTGCTTCGATTTTCAGGAGGACGTTAGAACTCAGAGGAACCCCCCAGACTGAAAGTTGATTATTTCCTTGCTAGAAAGGGAATCAGCCCTGAAAAGTACAGTCCTCTGAAATAATCCGCAGTTGACATGAATAAAAGGCACAAACAAAGTGTCAGGCCCCCGTTCAACGGGGACCACTGATGCTTTCTGGGGGTGGAAACGGAGACTAAACGGAGTGTCCCAGCCGGAGGCATCCTAACACGGGTTCAAAAGGCCCGTGGAAGGCGGAAGAAGGCGAGTACTCCTTTGACAAACGTCAAAACGGTCAGAGGGCAGGTGATGTTGGACGGTTGCTTTGGTCCCAGGCACTTGGCAAAGAGCTGGGAATGAGGGAATGAACCAGAAGGGATTCCCGAGGGAAGGAAACCATAGGGGATGGTTTATTGGGGGGGATTCCCTCAATCCCTGCTGCGCACCAGCAAGATTCCTTGGCAAACAGCCTGTTTCTCACTGCTCAATGGTAAGTGAACAACACATCCACTGCCCTCTGGGCAAGCACCAGAACTCAAACAAATACAACATGCCACTGGCCAGAGGGATCACATGGAAAAGCAAAAGCCGGCGACAATAGCCCACAGCAAGGTCTTGAAATATGAACAGGAACCGCAAGACCCGTAATGTTTATTGTTTGTTTGCTGAAATACACCGACATTCTCACGTCATTTACTTTGAAGTGGAGCCACTTAGAGCTGAAGGACTTGGTGTTGCAGGCGAATTATGAGCATTGCCCAATCTGAAAAAGAATGGGCCGAGAATAAGATAGGAACCTTCATCATGGGCCACAGTTGAAGGGCAAAGAACAAAATCTGGCCAGACACACAAACTCGGCGGCGAAAAACCATGAATATCCAGCACCCTGGACCAGAACAAACTGGCATTGTGTTTTGGTTGGGGTACCCCCAACAGGAACGACCACCACTTTCGCGAGCCCCTACTGCCACATCCCCAAGAGCGAGAAAGGGACTTGAGTGTCCAGAAGGCGCCGGAAGAAAGACATCAGAAAAAAGGGGGAAGGGTTTCTGCGTCTCTTGCATCAGCTACATACCCCCCCAGCTATTGTTTCGGCAGGTCCCCGATGTTGCGCGGAAAGGGGTCGCCCTTTTGTGCTACGGTTTGTTGCATGTGTAAGATCTTCGGGCACCATCCGCGAAACAAAGCAGGATTCCCGGAAACCATATTACGAGTATATGAGATATTGAGGCACCGGGTGATAGGCAAGGCGCGAATAAGCAAGCTTTCTGCGCTTGACTATCAAAGGCCCACTTTTGTGTTTGAATTTCCAGGACCGCACATGCTCACTCCCAGCCCTCTGAAGGGTCTGAGGGATCAAATGGTTCTGGAGAAAGCCTTTCTGGAGGCTTAGGATGTGTGTCAAAGGAAGAACCACATTGCCCAGGAACCAGCCCCGTACGTCCGTGCGAACTGATGTTTGCGGCCCCTTTCCTTTCTTACCAACCTCACACACTTACCGCCCCCGGCAACCAAGTAACCCTACGGGTCCCTGCACAAAAGCTGTGTAGCTGCAACCTTGTTTTAGTTGTTGTTTCGGGGCCAAAATCAACTCCAAGGATCCATGCCCACCCCCCACCCTCGCCAGGCACACTGCTTTTGCTTCCGTCAGTTGTCCGGCAGCTGGGGAAACTTTGTATCCCACTGGTCATTGGCAAGCTCTCGGCCTCGGCTTACAGCCAGCGGATCTCCATGGGGGAAACGAAAACGCGCCTATCGGCACCTGGTTCGGTTGATCGTACGGGGAAGCCCTCCCCCCCCCCAACAAAAATCTGAGAAGGGCGGAACACCCAATGAGCAAATTGGCGTCCAATGGGCAAATGGGTGTCTGGCTGTCTGGCTTGGCCCAACTGACCTCCAAAGAAAGCTCCTAGCCGCTTTAGAAAGCAAAGAGAACATAGCTTGCCACCTATGTGGGCATGCAACCGGGATCCACTGGATATAAAATATCCAACACATGGACCCTGCCCCTCACTTCCTGAGTGGATTGGCCAGACAAAAACAACCATTTTTGTTTGTTTCCCACCGAAAATGGCCCAAACCCACTGAGCAAAGTCCGAAACGGAACTCGGGAAGTGAGCCCCTTCATTCCATAAATGGCTGGTCAAAAAAATACACCCAAAATGGGTTGCCCTGGTAAATGGAAACGTGGAGCTGAAAATCTGCGGGTTTGTCTGGGGGGTGAATTTTGAGCCATTCCCGGCATCTCCACCAAGGGCCCCGGCGATACACCTGGTACTCCTTGGTCTCCTGCACGTCGATCTTCTTCCAAAGGCCCTGAACGGGCTCGGCTTGCGGCTGACGCTCAACCCATGTGGATCCCAATTACCCCATGAACAAATAAACTCCAATCATGTCTGAGAAATACCACGCATTGGCGCATCCAAAGGCAATAATTTCAGTTGCCTCAGTTATAGCCATGGCTAGAACAATACTGTCCAAGTGGCGTGAACATCCAACGAAACGGAGCCCTTGCTTGGTCTTGCCCACGCGGCAAGTTGCAAACAAATCAGGCGTGGTTGCCTCCTGTGGGATCCTGTCAGTCTGCAACGGGCATTCTGTTCCAGAATTCTGGGGACGCACCACTGGGGGTGGATGAACACTGAATGGAATAAACTGCCTACCAGCAGGAGTGTGTCCATCCACAGTACGAAATAAGAGTTGGCACCCCAAGTAAATGACCTTCATGGCGGTTGCTCGTTTTACCCCATCGGTGTCACCATAACATGGGTGCGCAGTTTGGACGTGGCTTGAAATGCCGCTCCGGATTGGTCGCTTGGAGTCTAAGCTCTTCCAGCTAAGGACTACCTGACAAAGTCATGCCTAGGTTCCGTTGAAGCGTCTCTCAAGCTCTTGTTGAACCAGGATTTGCCTTACCATTTTTGAAAATCCAGCTGGACCCCCAAAGGCGTATCAAAAGGCCGGCATTTATGAACCCAGGTTTGTCGCTAAATCATGCCATTGGCGGAGAAATGGGTGTTTTCCAAAAAGGGACCCTGAAAACAAATCGCGCACACAGTCGCCAGAATCGTATGGTCTGATTCATCAACCTAAATTATAGAAGTGCGAAACGAGGAACCTCCTTCATCATGGGTGGGCTTGTACGCACAGAGCTTGCCATTGACAAATTGACCCCATGCAAAAACGTATACATAGATGTTCATAATATTAAAGTGTTTGTAAACCCCATAGTTTGTTCCTTCACGCAAGCATGGCTTGATCAAAAAATACCGCCAAAGAACGGGACAGTTGCCCTGTTACATGTGTATGTTAGACATACTATATGCTTGAGGATCTAAAGGGCAACACGAGTGACACTGAACACCTGGTGCAGTCAGAGTACACTGCTACCTGTCATGGACGTGGGAACAATCAAAAGTCCCCCGCTGTTTCCTGGGAAATTTTGAGAGTCGAGTGGTTCGACCCAAATTGACCATAGTCTACCGAACATGTTTAACCGAACCTCATGTATACACACATGCAAGAGTGCTTTTCTTGAGAACCCCCGAGTTGGTGATTCGATTCCATAGGCAGGGAAGCCAAAAAGAAGCCAACCATCTTTTTTGGGAGGGCCTCCTGATGTTAAAACAAACCCATTTACACCCTTTAAATAATACAGTCTCAGAAGGTTGGGCCAATGTGTACTACTCTACACCGCCCAGGCCTGCAATGGATTTCCATGCGATCAAAGCTTTGTGGGTGACATAGAAGGTTCCACAAAAAACACGTTTGTGAACCATGGTCATGGTTCCCTCAGGATGTTTTTCATCTGCCTAAAGCCCCTAGAGGTTCGTGACCATCCCTACCAACCCCAAGCAAGGGTTTGTGTGTGTGTGCCCCTGTTCGTAAAACAAGAAGTGCGTTTGGTTGTGTTCGCTTGTGGGGGAAAACACTTTCCCATAGAGGTGCAGGTTAAAAAGGCAACCCCACAGTCAAACATGGCCCATATGAGGCTTGTGCAGAATGTGGCCTGCGTTTGGTCTGACCCTTCTCGTCTGGAGTATCCGTAATAATCCAAAGTAAGTACAGTGAGTAACAAGCAGTTCCCAACCAATAAGTACAGCTGCTTGGAGATTCTAACCAGGAAATGGGTGGGAAAGCCACAATTGGGAGATGTGCTATCTGCTTGTTACTCACTATACTTGGCCCACATCCGGGGTACACATATGGTTTTCCCCTCATCTATATATAATAGATATATATGCTACCCCCCCCAGGTACCCAGGTTTGGGCTTGGTTCAGATGTGCTTCGACCGCGGAAGCAGGCAGGAAGAACAGCTCAGATTTGCACACTGGGAGACCAGAGGAAGGAGGTTTGCCGCATTGGAGAAAGAGGCCTTGGACGTGACCCATGCCCATTTTCAATGGCTCTTCCACACAAAATTCAATTCACATATCTTCCCACACAAACCATGCCTTCTTTCAAAGGCTCTTCCACGGATAACTCACATATCTTCCCACACACACCATCCCTTGTTTCAAAGACTCTTCCACAGACAATTCACACATCCTCTCACCCAACACATGTCTTTTTACATGCCTTCTTTCAATGAAACAAAGGCAGCATACGTGAAAGAGCCCAAGGAAAGTGAATGATGGTTTTACATGATATTTACTGTCTTTTGCTGTACTGTTATGAATCACTGTAACCCTGACTCTTCCACAAAGACTCACATATCATCTCACACAAAACATGTCTTCTTCAATAACTCTTCTCTGCAGAAAATTCACATATCCTCTCACCCAGAACATGTCTTCTTTCACAAAGGTTCACATATCCTCTCACCAAGTCATGCCATTTTTAAAAGGCTCTTCCACAGAAAACTCACATATCTTCCCACACAAACCATGCCTTCTTTCAAAGACCCTTTTACAGAACATTCACATATCATCTCACACAAAGCATGTCTTTTACATAACTCTTCTCGACAAACAATTCTTTCATCCTCTCACCCAAAACATGTCTTTTTACATGCCTTCGATCACAAAGGTTCACAAATCCTCTCACCAAAACATGCCTTTTTCAAAGGCTCTTGCACAGAAAATTCACATATCTTCCCACACAAACCATGCCTTCTTTCAAAGACTCTTCCACATAAAATTCTCACATCCTCTCACCCAAGACATGTCTGTTTACATGTCTTCTTTCAATGAAACAAAGGCAGCATATGTGAAAGAGTTGCCAAGGAAAGGGAACCCTGTGTAGAACAAAACCAGGCTATGGCTGGGACAGTTTTTGTTACATAAATGGTGGTTTTACATGATAGTTACTGTATTTCGCTGTACTTTTATGAATCACTGTAACCCTGACTCTTCCACAAAGACTCACATATCATCTCACACAAAACATGTCTTTTCAATAACTCTTCTCTACAGAAAATTCACATATCCTCCCACCCAGAACATGTCTTCTTTCACAAAGGTTCACATATCCTCTCACCAAGTCATGCCATTTTTAAAAGGCTCTTCCACAGAAAACTCACATATCTTCCCACACAAACCATGCCTTCTTTCAAAGACTCTTCCACAGAATATTCACATATAATCTCACACAAAGCATGTCTTTTCAATAACTCTTCTCTACAGAAAATTCACATATCCTCCCACCCAGAACATGTCTTCTTTCACAAAGGTTCACATATCCTCTCACCAAGTCATGCCATTTTTAAAAGGCTCTTCCACAGAAAACTCACATATCTTCCCACACAAACCATGCCTTCTTTCAAAGACTCTTCCACAGAATATTCACATATAATCTCACACAAAGCATGTCTTTTAAATAACTCTTCTCGACACACAATTCTTTCATCCTCTCACCCAAAACATGTCTTTTTACATGCCTTCTTTCACAAGGAATCACATATCCTCTCACCAAACCCATGCCCTTTTTCAAAAGGCTCTTCTACACAAAATTCAATTCACATATCTTCCCACACAAACCATGCCTTTTTGAAAGGCTCTTCCACAGAAAATTCACATATCTTCCCACACAAACCATGCCTTCTTTCAAAGACTCTTCCACATAAAATTCTCACATCCTCTCACCCAAGACATGTCTGTTTACATGTCTTCTTTTAATGAAACAAAGGCAGCATATGTGAAAGAGTTGCCAAGGAAAGGGAACCCTGTGTAGAACAAAACCAGGCTATGGCTGGGACAGTTTTTGTTACATAAATGGTGGTTTTACATGATAGTTACTGTATTTCGCTGTACTTTTATGAATCACTGTAACCCTGACTCTTCCACAAAGACTCACATATCATCTCTCACACAAAACATGTCTTTTCAATAACTCGTCTCTACAGAAAATTCACATATCCTCTCACCCAGAACATGCCTTCTTTCACAAAGGTTCACGTATCCTCTCATCATGCTCCGCAAATGTTGCGCAACATTTGGAATTTGTTGCGCAACATTTCCCTGGACAAAAACAACAAAAAAAAACAAACACCAAAAAACCAAAAAACCAACCAATCCCAGCCATGGTGGGGGCTAGGATTGTTTTTTGGTTTTGTGTTTGTTTGGTTGTTTGTTTCTTTGTTTTTTTTGGTCCACAAAATGGCCTTGCAGAAAATGCATGAGTTCAATCAAAATACACTGTAAATATCAATGGTTTTGATACATGATGCAACAACACCTGGGTACTGGGGGGTACCATATATATTATTATTATGTTCTTGCTGACTTTGCTTCATATTTGATCTACCCAACATAAACTCGTTTTGGAGAAGACGACACACCAAGATGAGAGGAGACTCCAGTTTAGGCCTTACCATGGCACTGGACCCTTCTACCCCTGCGAGTCCCGAGTCCCGAGTGCCTCCCCAGGCTGCAGGTCACTGCAGGGTTTCAGGCTCACGCGTTGACCTACGGGTCTGGAATGAAAGGAAATGAACACACAAGCAAAACCAGCTGTCAAATTCCCTCTAATTGGTGGGTTGGATGGTGGTTTTAAGGTGTTCCGGGGTGGTTTCCAATTAGCCCTCTACACTAAGAGTTGCCAGAAGCAATAGTCAGTTGCATTGCTCGTCACACCAAACAACGCACACACACACACAGGCAACCATGAATATCACTTGTATTGGTGTTGACACGCGAAGAACGAACAAACACCAATACAAGACACGCAAATAATATGTAAGTGGACTTTGTGGCGTCATGGGGCTCAAGTGCCATGGCAAACTGTGGCCGCGCCTGAGCCTGCCACCATGCAGTCCGTGTCACCCTTTTGCAGGCGCCCGTCCTGTGAAATGGTCCATTCGAGGACATGAAGACACTGACCAGGGGAACCACGAAAGAGAGAAAGACTCCTCCGGCCAAAAAGAAAATACAAAGGTTGTGGGTTCCACGTGAAGCTGGGGAGGCATACCTCTATCCAAGAAAAGACATGGACAGGATGCTCCCAGAGTTCATGTGGCTGATCATTCGCCTGCCCAAAACTTGGCTTTCGCAAACATCAGGCGGACGCTCGCCAAAGCAAAAGCCCGTTACGATGATTCAAGCCGAGGGAAACGTGAACCGCAAGGATATTTGAGGACGAGCTTCAAGGGCTGCGTTTCACGGGGAACACCTTGGAACCTAGACCGACCCTCAAAATGTCCAAGTTGAACTGCTTGGGTTCCTGGGCCTGGGCAAAAGATTGCAGGATGGGCCTCTCATACCCCTCGAGTCGGTGAGCTCGTGCTCTTCTCATGTGCTAAGGTTCTCCCTGAAGCCTTCATGTTTTTGAAGCTGAACTTTCCGGGCGTTCAGGACTTCAGGTGCTTGGACTTGGGCTCAGCTTGTGGGAAATTACCTGTTCTGTGCTAACGTGGGCCATCCCTGTGGTCATTTAAAGGAAGCCTTGGCACGGAAACTTGCCTCAAAACCCAGTTCTGCACATTTCCACACGGGGCTGAGTCCAAGGTCGCTATTGCTCTCCAAGTTGGCGTAACCTTCGAGAGGGACGAAACACAAAGCCCAGCGGGAAGTCTGAGCGTATGCCAAACAAGAGATCATGTCTGACTCTGCCTCATCCTTAGTCTACATTAAAATCAATCACTGGCTTGAAGGAGACCCAAGCCCCATGTGGGCTTCAAGTCCTAGTGTGGGCCTACTTTCTATGGCTTGGAAGGACAATGTGCAACTGCGCTCTGGCCAGACTGGGCCGAGTGAGATGCAAGAACCGCAATGAAGAACACTTTTGCGAACGCCTGGCCTCCCGCAAATAAATACCAAAATAAGCGCACAGCTGTGACCAAAGGGAGTACAAGCCTGTTTGTTTTGTTTGCCAAGTCTACTTTGCCAGGTGAATGGGGAAGGTGTTTCTTACTTCTGTGGAGTGGCCCAAACTAGTCCAAGCCTTATCTTTGCCACTAAAATGAGCCAGACCTTCAAAATGACTCAACCGTCTCATTGCCTCCAGCAGGCGGTACTGCTGGTTCATGTTACGCCCCATCCTTGCGTTCAGCACGGGGTTTCCTATAGGGGTGTCTCTCTTTTGGGGAACCCCCTTTTGGTTGGTTTCAAAGGGAAACCAAAAGCAAAACCGATGCCATTTTGGGGATGCCCCAACAGAGAGACCGCTGACCGGTATTTCCCCCTTAAAACGCATCCCACCACCGAAAGGAACCTCACCCATTTATGGACCTAAGTGCTGATTGAAACCACCAAACAGGGAGGAAAAAGGGAGCCCTGCTGGAACGCTGGCGCAAACTTCCAGAGACCTGGTCAAAGACCTCCTTGAGCCTTAGCCTTCAACCCCACTTAGGCCTTAGCTCGCTTCCGGAGTGGCAAAAAAGAACGTGTAAGAGCTGTTACTTTACTCGGTTGCGAGATCTGCTCCCCTGCTAAAAGTGACTAACTTTTAGTGGTTTAGTGGAAAACCCATTAGTTGGCAAAAAGTTAAAGTCCTAACAGCCAAGCAAAATGCACCAAAGTTTACCTCTTCCCAACAATCAGGGAGTGAGACAACAGTTGACCTTCCGAGGGCATTATTTGTTTGGGGGGTGGGGGGCGGGGGGTATCTTTGGGATCCCTGAAGCGTGATGCTATCGATGGGATGCCCAGGCAAAAGAGAGGTGGCGATTTCAATCCAACCCCCCAAATGTTTCAAGCTAAAACAATACATCCAAAAGGCGAGCGTCACGCCGGCAAGATGCCACACAAGATGTGCAAAAGACACCGACGGCGCAAGCTTTTCTTCACGCAGCCTTGCTTTGCGGCGCTTCTCTCTCGCGTTCTTCGCCCGGTTGCATCTTCGGTACTTTTTTGAGGTGCTTGGCGGGGGCTTTGGCTCTGTCTCGCTCGTAGGTCCTGGCCAGGATAGCTGAATGTAGTTGTCATCCACGTCCTCCAAGAGCTCGTGGGAGTGCTTGTCAAAGTTCTCCCCGCCGATGTCCATTATCACTTGAAGGTGATTTATAACAAAACGAAAACAGCGCTGCCAAATGAAACAAATGGAAAACCATACCAAAGCCAACTCCCCCTTTTCCAGCGGGCTTCCCTCCAGTGGAGATGTGCCACATGTAGAAAAGTTTATCAGATACCAACCATCAACTCGTTCGTAAGGGACCAGAAGCGATTTACAAATTACTGTGCAGGGGAAACTACTTCGACTCCGCAGACGACGTAGCCCAAAGATATGTTTTCATCAAACTGGGTAGATACGGAGGAGGTTCTTCATCTTCGTATAATATGGTCCACATCCATGAAGGTTAAGGCCATGCTCTTATCTCTTTGTCCATTTGTGTCCCTTGGGTGCTACAAGGAATAGAATAGCGTCTGCCAAGACGGAAGCCTCATGATACTCATGGGATAAGAGGCATAACTCCCTCACTGAGAACTTGGCTCAACAGAATTGTCCATACTCAGTGAACCTTAACATGTAGACACATTTCATAGCTTCGCAAAACAAAGCACTTGCTTAGCCCTTTCTATACAGGGCCAGACTTGAAACCACTGCAAAAGGTAAATATCTTACTGCGGATAGGGAACATGTCGAAAAGACAGAAAGGGCAAAACGGTAAAACAGGGACTTGCCTGAGATACACTGGGAAAGCACCTCTCTTCAGCCGCGAAAGTTGGGAGCTCGCTCCATCTGAGGCCAACACACGTCACAGGCGTAGGGATGAATGCCGCTCTGGCCGGGTCCGGGTGCCCCGTTGATTTTTCCAGGACGCCCAGTTGGGCCAAACATGGTGCAGCTCCATTTTGGTTAAGCCCCTCAAGTTCTCCACTATCGAATTGTGCCTAGTTTCACCCTCTTGCCAAGGGCTGGTTGGACTTGTTGACTTGCCCAGACAAACAAGAAGGTTCTCAGGTGGTTGCTGAGGTTGCCTTGCAAAAATGTGCTCAAGACTGCCTAGTTTGGATAGAAAGGTGCTCGTGTTCTTTGCTGGAAGCTGCCTGCATGCTGAAAGTGGGGAGCACACCAAACAGCAGAGACCCCCGTCTGAATGGGGCTCCCCTAAGCAGTAGTTTAACCTGGAGGAGATGCCTCTTTGAGTTTCCAAAGGTTTCAAGACTAGCTCGCCTAGGTGTCCCTTTGCCTAATTCTAATAATAAACTGGCACGAGGTTGCAATCACTGCCATCTGTTTTCGACCAAGCTAACCTAAAGAGGACACCTATGCTACTGACAGCTGTTGTGAAGTGTCCAGACGAACCCCACCTTGTCAAAGTAATCGAAGCAGTTGTTGCTGCCTGAGCCGGATGGCTGTCAATCTGACAATCTGAGAGGGCGTCCACTCTCCAAACGACCATGTTCAAGGGAAAACTGGATATAAGCCCTCTATGGTGGCCAAACAACTCCACACTTCTTCCCCTTGACGATAGTGTTTTGGGAGTGGACACCCTCTTCGGGTCTCTCCGGAACTCGGGATACCACTTCAGCCTGTAAGACAATACGTGGCCCCATAGCAAAGTTATAATATAACCTCCTCACGGTAGACACCCGTATATTGCAAGCAAGGAAACCACACCAAAAGCGCCAATTGGGGAGGTTGCGGTAAGCTGGGGGGAGCGAAGGTCCCTTCCCTTGCAATTAGACTAGGGCATGCACCGTACTTCCACAACCAAGAAGTGAAAATGCCCTGAATGTTGCGCCGGTCTCTTGGCAAAACCGCCCTCAAATGGCACTGCACCAGCTCGGGTCCCAAGAAATCTGGGCCAACGTGCAAAGCCATTCAGGTCCAACAGCCCCATGAATCAAGAGCACGAATCTGCGACTTTACTTAGGGACACAAACTGGAGATCATTTAAGGGGGGATTGATGGCCTTTGCCATTTTGGAGGCGGTTCCGCATTGAAATTCATAGCCTTTTCGTTCCAATTTCGCTCAGAGCGAGCACTTCCTGGGGGGGGGAGGGGGGGGGAGGGGTGAAGCTTCGCTAGCGCAGGTGCCTGCTTTCTCCCTCTTGGCTTTCAAGAGAAGGATCCCATTCTTAGCCAAGAATGACAAAGAACTCTCATAGGCTCAAAGGTCATACAGGTCATTGTCAAACCCCATACCTTTATCAAAAGATCCGCCGGTCACCAACAACTCATGTTCCACAAGTTGGTCCAGATCACTTCTGCCCGTCCAGTCAGGAGGGTCCATCCCACTTCAAGGAAGGCTAAGTGAGCAAGACCAGTGTTCTACCCAAATCTGGAGCACACCACACAGGTGTGTCTTTTCTGAGGGCACCCCCTGAATGATGTTTATTCTTCCTTTAGTTTCCCTTTCAACCAAAAAGTGGTCTTAACAAAAAGGAGACACAATGAAACCCTGATTTTTTTGGAAGCGCACACAAAAGGAAGCCCTTACTTAGGCCTCTTTAGGAAGGCCATCAGCAAATTGTGCAATACCCAAACTTGAAACAAGTATACTCCTTTGTCCTAGGTATTCGCTGGCTTTATCCAGAGACCGGCAAGCTTGCAATAAAACAACGCAGGAAATACGTTGTTCACCCACCCTTGGGGTGCTGGGAATGAAAACCTGGGTTATACCTCTGGCATGTTTTGCCCCCAAGCTTCAGCTTCAAAAAGCCCGGGTTGAAGTGACATCAAAATTGCACGAGCCTGCGTCATGGCTCCTGTTGGCCACATAAACAAAAGGCCCATGCGGGGATACGTTTCGTGGCCATTCAGAGTTCAGAGCCAACAAGGGCCATAACCGTTGCATGGATTCTTTTGCACGTGGCTCTGCGCCGAACAGCCAAAACAAAAGGAACAGCGACCCGTACTGACTTTGACAAACCCCAGTCCAAAGAATGACCCCGTTGAATGCTGGGCGTGCTGGCCATGAATCCGAAGGCCCGAGCAGCACTTGCCCGTGGACCTGCCGAGCGCTTGACCAACTCGCGAGAGCCATGACTGGGGGCTACGATCGGGGCTGTTTGTAGCTCGGGGCCAGGCGCAACCTGAATCCCACGTTTTGGGTCGAGTTCAATGCCTTCATGATGCATGCAAACAGCTGCAAACACACACACACACACATATATATATATATAGATATATGAGGGGCACGCTGTGGGCCCTAGTGCTTTCCAAATATGAAACCGGTGGTTTTTGCGGACGTGCAAACAGGTGACTTCAAGGCAAACCAACTGACTCAACGCCAATCCGCACCTCAACAACTCCAAGCACGTTAAAGAGTATAACCTTGATGTGGTCATATCTGTAGGGTGTGAGATAAGTTCGCCTCGGTTTTCAAGGGGGGGGGCTCAAATCCTGATTCCCAATTTTTGGGCCTTGCTGAGACAGCAACCCACCCAGGCCCAGCCATCAGACAAACCAGCCTTGTCTCAACCTGGCATGTCTGAGACTGGACTCACATGTCTGAGACAAGCCAACCAGACCCCAAGCAAGGCTCAGCTCAGCCAGCCCAGGCCCTCCACCAACCAAGCAAGGCCTGGCTCTATGACTTGCCCTTGCCTCGGGGATTCCTGCGGGCCCATGACATCAATTGGTCCAACGACGCCAGAACCTGTTCATGCCTGAATCGCCACTTGACCAGCTCTGCTGCTTGCAGTCGAGCCACAGACGCTGCGCGCTCGGCTGGGCCGAGGCGGGCAACGCGCAGCGTTTACAATTATATTCTAGGTACAAAGCTCAGAAAATGGGCAACACAAACATTAAAGCAACATATAACACAAGGTTATACCATTAATCAATGAACAGTTGAAACTGACCCTAATCTTTTGATTGAAGTTATATCTGCATTGAACAAATACCGCCAAAAAGAAAAGTAGTCATAACGATATATTAGAATTAATCAAAACATGATCATATACTTGATTATCTTTGCAAATAGATGATCAACAAAGATTTCCAAAACTTGTACCTCAAGTGATATTGATAGATGTACAGAACAAATATATCAATATATGAAAAACTTAAATTAAACCTAACTAATAAGAAAGAAGTAACTAGCTCAAGAAACAAAACACAAGGTGCCCTAGACAGTACGTAAAAACACGTTTTTCAAAATGGATTTGGTCAAGAACTATATCCTAGCGTTGAAAAACAGCTTCTCACTTACTATATGTTATCACTGAAAATCATCATGGTGCAGGTCTTGCTGGGACAAAGATTGCTTGGGAACTTGATGCAAAAGGGTATATGATAAAATACTTTGTTGATGATGATATATATTTACGAAAAAGAAGCATAGATGGTAACAACGTTGTCTTAAAAATAGAAGTACACAAACATATAACCTTCAATATTTGACCTTCTAGTTGTAGCATTGCCAACATCAGTTTAAACTCAACTATTAAAAGCAATATACACATACTTTGAGACAGATTTCGAACGAATCAAGATAACGCCACCTCTAGAATATGTTATTCAAGATGATCATTTTATGTCACAGCTTAAGCCTGATTCACTTTGTGATTTACTTTCTAGAGACTCGGCAATTATTCACAAAGAATATATGTCATACTTTATTCAGGAGAAAAAGAGTCCTTATTACAGGCGACTCAACAGGGGCAGGGGGGAGTATTGGCTCTGAAATTGCTAGGGAATGAATCAAGCATGAAGCTAAGCAAATAGCTTCACTCGATCATCTGAAGAATGTTCTCTTTGTTATACAGAAGTAGTTTAAGTTCTATTTATGATTTAGAATCATTACACAATGTGTTTAGTGATTACTTTCCAAATGTAGTGTTTCATGCAGCAGCTTACAAGGATGTGCCTTTAGCTGAGGAAATATATCAAATACGATAAAATATAATATTCTGGGGTCTGAAAATACTATTGATTTGGCTATTAAAGCCAGTGTTCAATCATTTGTTCTAATTTCTACAGATAAGGCAGTTGGCAGTTAGACCAACAAATGTTATTGCTCAACTCTAGGCCTTTTCTAGATCTAGTAGATAACATGACATGTGCATGAGGATTATCATGATGTATAGAAATCTGGAAAACACCTCGAGACATCGGAAAAAAATGTTTGCAGAGGACATTACTGGTAGACCCTGTCATCTCTCCTAGAACTTTGCTTTTGTTGTGCCAGCAGTCAGGGATGTATAGAAAACCGAAAAAGAACTCGAAAAATGGAAAGATAAAAAGAAAAAACAAACAACTTTTGCGAGGGGCATTGCTGCTATACCCTCTCATCTCTCCTATAACTTGTTTTTCTTGTTGTTCGATTTCTCGAAGTTTTTTTTCCGGGTTTGGGGTTTCTAAATGGGTAGAACCAAGCATCTCTCCTAGAACTTGTGTTTTGTGTTTTCGATTTCTCGAATTGCGCTTTGAGGTTTCTAAGTGGGTAGAACCAAGCATCTCTCCGATAACTTGTTTTTTCTTCGAATTGTTGTGTTATTTTTTTCGGTTTCTCGAGGTTTTTTCGGTTTGGGGTTCCAAGTAGACAAATCACATGAAATCATGACAAAAACGCTTCGGTGCAAAAGCCCAGGGCCCAGGACGTACCCTTCTGATATATATATATATGTACATGCTGTATCTCCTACAGATATGAACATATGTTTGTGCGAGTTAGGCGAGATATTGGTATGCAACGAATTCGTTGGTGAACTTTAATGTGCAAACTAGATCAACAATGTAATTGCATTATTATGTTGCTAAAGTAAGGCCTTGAGCCTGTATACATCGTCGCCATCAGTGCAAAACATACAACAGTGCCCGCTTCACACAGTTTTCACACATCAGGTATACAGGATACAGGTGGACACCTGGGAAGGATCTGGCGTCGTTCCCACACACACAGCAACAGGAATGGCGGCTCAACAACAACAGCAGCAGCAACAGTTAAAGAAATACACAAGTACAAGGTAGCACCACGACGAGTTGAAGGAGAGCACGCTAAAGTACAAGATGACAGCCTACCTTCGCTACCTTGGACTACAAGAATCAGCACACAACAGACTTCCGAGACAGTCAGAGCAATCGCAACTCCAAGTAAGAAATTATCAACTGGAAACAGCACCATCACAAGCAGTCAGAGAATGGATACAACAACTGAGCAGCAACGTACACTACTCATCTTGGTGAGCTCATGCGATGGACCAGCATCAATTTGCGGACGAAACTTTTGGTTGCTGTTGACCCTCTGCCAAAAGTTTAACTTGTGGGTTAAATGGCGATCACTTGGTTTTTCAAGAAGTTAAAGTCCAAAGATCCAACCCAATAGCAATCAACGAATCAAGACACATGCAACGGATTTCAGACATGGCGGCTGCCCCGCTATCAAGCGATCGGCCTTTGGAACCCTCCGAAGCCCCAAACGAACCCCGAAACAGGCACTGAAGGTCTAGGTCAAAGGCCACTCCTAAATCCTCTGCCTGGGATACATAGCCTGTCTTTTTTTGGAGGACCTACTAAATGGCTTCGGTTTTCCTCCTTTCCCTTTAAAACACCAACAAGGGGCTCAACAGAAAGACTAGCTACCCAAACAGCTTTAGCTTGGAGACCAACCATCCCATCATCCCATCCGAACAAATCCCCTTGGGCCTGTCGACGTTTCCCAGCTGCAGGCGAGAGCGGCCAGGCCCGCAATCACCTAAGGCCATGGTTCGCAAGGAGTCGCAGATGCCCTAGGTTTCAACCCCGAGATAATGAAAGTCCTGAGGCAAACAATGGTGAACATATTAACCCCCGTTTGAATCCCCATTGTTTTAATTGCGGCTTGAATCCCAGTGTGGCCTTGAGCTTCCTTTTCCAGGATTTTTAAAGGGGATCCACGACAAGGAACACGCCCAGCATGTTCGCAAAAAAACAAGGGGCCAGTTCCCATGCCCTCTTTGGCACATGATATTGGTTTTGGGTCATGCTGTGGATGGACAAAATCCATTCCGCACCACTTTGAAGCCATGGTTGAAGAAATAATGTTTGTGGTATTTGCAGGGGAATCGAATCTTTTCAGGGTTTCTTCCTGGAGGCCCAATTGATACAGAAATTTGTGCTCGAATGTTTTTGGCACAAAAAGTGCCCGAAACGTTTCTGGGAGCCAGCGACTTGGCGCTAGTGCAGTGACCAAAATTTGGGCAGTTGTTGAAATTGCGCTCGGTTGCGCGGATTTGCGCCCGAGTTGCGCGAAATTGCGCCCGAAGTTGCGCCGAATTGCGCTCGAAACGCGGTGCGCATTTCGGGCCAAGCCGTCTTCAAAACTGTTCGTTTCCAATCGGGCAGAAAAAAGCGCTCGAACTCTGAAAGTGCAATTGAGCACGTTTTTCTGTATCAATTGGCCCTCCAGGTTAGGTGGTGCAGTCTTCCTCCATCCACAGTAATTGTGTTGGGTTTCCTTCCACACCAACTAGCAAGATAGAAGAAGTTTACATTCAGTTTACATTGTTCTGTTCTCCACGTTTTGCTTCCGTTGTTTGTTGCAGAAAGAAGGGAGTTATCTTTCAGTTGAATGGGAACGCTTCATACTCAACAAGAGCAGCGCCCAATGTCGATTCCGCAGTCGCTTATTTTAGGTGGCCAGCCGCTGACCCCTGAAGTCTGAAGTTGGCCCCTCCCCCCTCCCCCCTCCCCCCCTCCCCCACTTCATTAAGGGGTGCCCCTTTTTGGTGGTCGGAAATCCTTTCTTCCAGGACCACAACCTCCTGGAAGCACAGCAGAACAGGCTTTTTGATTCATCGGTCAACATGTCCCTTTTTCGGGAAATGGAAAGCCTCAAAATCAGGGACCTTCTTTGGTTGTCCCTTACGAACACAACCAACAAAAGCTCAACAAACACACTTAGACGCTCACACACACACACAGACGCACATACACAGACAGACAAACAGACAAACATATAAACACACACACACATATTCATTTGTTTTTGTTCGGTGGCGGGAACCCGGACGAAAGTCGAAACCCTAACTCCAGGCCAACTATCCCGGTGAGTTTCCCCAGTAGGGTTTGCCCTGATCAGCTATTTGGTCGAAACAGTTCGACCCCCGTTTGGTAAAACCTCTGGAGTCCGTCTTCAAAATTGGACACTCGAGCTGCGATCGCTCGCTCGGTTCCATTTCCAGGGTCACTCTCGGGGTCCCGTCCAACTTGAAATTTGGGTGGCTCGTCCTTTCTTGAGCTAAAAAAAAAACACCAGTCCACTGAATTTGTTGGTGCCCCAATCTTCCACCGGGCCCAAATCAAGGCTTGCCCAGTGGATCTACCCCCAACAAGGCAAATATTTTGGTTGCCTGCCTTCAGTTTCAGGTTCTGGGTGGCAAGTTTGCTTCTCAACCTAGTGCTTTCAATTAAGCTTACCAACGAAAACCACCGAGTCTTCCAGAGGTTCAATGTTCTTTCCGGCCCAAGCTGTAACCCCCCCTGCTGGCTTCACTAGCCAGACTCAAAATCAGAACACCTTCCAACACAAATCATAGAGGTCGCCAAATCAAAAAGTCCGTCCTGATTCGACTCAAATAGCGCGCGAAGGGTTGAGGGATTCTTTGGGGAAGGGTAGAGTCCCTTGAGCGGGCAAGCAGGGCGGGGCATTCTTTCAAATCCGATCCAACCCCCCCTTTCCCCGTTCGTTTCCCCGAACCAAGATCCTAGATCGGCCTTGCCTTCGATTAAAGGCAGGGGGCGGAAACTATGACTATAGCTGTACTTCGGAGAGATTCCGATAAATCCGGGTGACCAAAAAGTATGGAATGGCCAGTCACAGTCTATTGAAGCTTTGTGTTTATTCCAATCAAGACCGAGGCTTCACTTTAAGTTCATCCTGGGACAGCGAGTCTCCCCAATCGTGGCTGACGCAACCTTACGGGGGCCTAGTGTGCTGGAAGAGGCGCCCAACTTTTGCGTCTGCAGGCAAAGACCAGAAGATACCTCGCAGACTCGCGAGGTAAGACGGCGAAATTGAGGCCGAGCACAAGTCAATATTCATTGTTGCCCCCAATGGCGTTGCCCACGTCTGATTTTGGTGCATCCCCTTAAATCAAATGGCCGAACATAGCGACCGCCCATCTGCATGCTGGCAAACCCATACTTGACGGTACTCAGGGACGGAATGACACCTAACACCCACCTAATCATCCGTGGCTTCGGATCCCGCTCATGCCCAAAACCCTTGAAATATCCCCAAACACCGGCTGGTGGTAGGTAACCCTTCGGTAAGCACAGGATGTTTCATGATTTCTCCTGGTTACCTGCAACTATGGCTTGCCCGCAAGCGCTGGGCGTGGGGAAAGAAAACTTACAAGCCACGTGCTGAAACACGTGTGGCCGGGCAGGGTGCTCCTTTCCGAGACCAACAGTGTGCGCTTGTTCCCTTGTTTCTTTCTTCTGTGATGGCCCTTTAAAATCAACCAGCAGAAAATCTGGGCGCCCTGGCGGCTGGGTAGCGGACTTGAGTTGTCAATGAGTGAGTTTTCAGCATGTGCGCAATAAAATGAGCAGATGTTTGACCCATTTCTCTCTTGGGAGCCCGGGCTTGCAACAAAAACCTGGCCCACATCTGGGATGCGCAGAAAGACACTGGCTTTGCTCCATGTTTAATCTGCCCACTGAGTGGATAGGCCCCAACAATTCCAGACCATTTGTTTGCCACTGAAATGGTCTCCCCAAAAAGTGTAAAGTCCAGGAACTTAGGAAGCGAGCTATTAAGGGTGTGTCTTTTTTTTTGGCGGGGGGGGGGGGGGGGTTGGAAACCGAAAGGAAAACCGTAGCCATTTTTGTGGTCCCACCACCCATATTTGCCTTTTAGTTGCTAAATGTTTGTTCGCTTGGCTACGTACTCAGGCAAATGGATCCACTGTGTCAGTAGGACATGGCCATGGTGATAAGACCAAATTGACATGAATCTGGGGCATAGCCATGATCGTAAGGTCCCATAAACCATGACACCAATCTTCATAACTTCCATTTGCGTCATCCCCCTGGAAGTAACAAACATATTTCCAGTAGTCATACATCCCCTTCAAAACCAACAAGGGAAAAACCGCAAAAACAAATATTCATCTCAGCAAAAAGAACATAAGGTAAGTCAGAAAGTGAGCACATATATGGTGGGGTCTTTCTTTGGGTGCCTTTTCTTTGCGGGTTTGGGCCCCCAAAAAACAAGCACCCCCCTGATAGTCTCAGAGGAGATCCCAGCAAACGGTGCGGCCCACAGGCGCCTCTTGAAGCTGAAAGGACTCCCTCGCCAGAACGCCCCCCTCGAGGTAGAGCTTCCGGAAGCGGTAGATGAAGTAGCTGAAGGGCCTGAGGATTGAACGACTGGCGGCCGGGCCACCACTTCAAATCCAGTGGATTGCCCAGAAAAAGTAACACTCGTTTGTTTACAACTAAAAGGGTCTTCACCAAAAGTTTGAAGTCCACGAGCTTAGAGAGTGAGGCGAATGCTGCTTTGCGAAAAGGGGTCCGGCAGTCAGTCAATGGATTCTAATACCAAATTAAATGTATTTGAAGAAAATCCTTCAAGGCCCATTGAGGAAAAATAACCAGGCCCAAGAAAGTCGGAAACAATAAAACATGCAACCCTAAAACCCACCATCATTCTCTATGCAAACCGTTCAGCCTAGAGAAATGGTAAACTCGAACAGTCAAAAGTGTGTCTCGCTTCTATTCAAAGGAACTCGCCCGTCGAACAGCTTCCCATGCCCCCCAGATATAAACCCTGTATGGGTTGGCGACCCCGAACATTCACACGGAAAGCCGCAGGGATCCCAAGAACCATCAGCCAGCGCCAGGCTAACCAAACATTGACAAACTGACATGAGGGCGGCAATCGATGGGTTTGAGGTGTGAGATGTGCTAAACAAGTATTGGAATTGATGTCATTCAAGGGCAATCCTCTACCCTGAAACAACACAGTTACATCCCGAGAGGGAACGCGGAAGCTTGGGCAACACCCAACTATCTAGAACATGGTCCCAAAATGAGTCTTTCTCCTGCGATCGTTTGACACTCCTCGAAGGGATGGCTAGGAAATGATGTTCGCCACAGCCGAAATATGGAGTCTCATCCCCCGGGTTGTGTGCCTTCTTTCTTGTATGACCACTGTCCCTACCCCCTGGCTCTGGACATGGAAACGATGTTCATCATTTTGGTGGGAAGCCCACCAAGAAGAACAACGACAACGGGTGTGACTGAACAGCTCGGGCTATGTTCACAGCAATGCCTTTTGGGCAACGAGTGGCCCGTTGACCGGTAGAGGCACGGCGCACGTCGCCGCACGCAGCGCGTAAACCAGCGTTGGCGAGCGACGCGGTCGAGTCCATGTCTATCCGCACCGTGCCACCCGGAAGGGCCGCAAACATTCCATCCGCTCCATCCTCTCGCTGAAACGTTTCTTTAGTTGGGGGGGCCAACGTTCAACTCTAAACTTAGGATGTAAATATGTACTTGCATCACTTCATCAGTTCCATCACTTCCATCACCATTTAAAATGTCAGCAAAGGGCAGAGATATCAAACAACCAGACAGTGACCCAGCTACTCTTGAATTGGGCGCCTGACCTCGTCTACTTTTCTGGTTGGAAGAGCTCAGCAGCTGGATTTGAAGAAGAAAGATGGGGCAAGCCAAAACATGACTTGGCCTCCATTTGGTTTTCCAAAACAGCAAATTATACCAGGGTGCAAGCGGATGGCACAATTGCCTTTAACTACCACGGCCTTCCATCCAATCACTTGCAAAATAGACACGAATGGCTGAAATCGTGCCATCTACTTCTACCCAACTTACCAAACTGCTTATCTGCCGGCCAAAAAGAAACTCGATCAGCCCCTTAGAGAGACAAAGGTGATCATCACCCTCTTTGTCTTTGCGTACAATAAATTGGTGATGAAGATCAGATAGGATCCGATTGCTACATCCATCTTGCCAAATTCAAGCCCCTGCCCAAGCCATAGCACCCCTTGTGCTAGTTCTCCAGGAATCAAGAGGGTTGGGGATGAGCCGTTTTGGGAACTTCCTTGGTTCAGTTCGGAGTGACCCACTGCTGAACCAGCAAGAACAGTTCATAGGGGCCAACATTCAGAACCAATGCCTGTTCATCTGCTTGCCAGAACTGGAAGGGCTCCTGAAACTTATCCTCACATCAACCAAAAGGCCACTTGCTCTGAACGGGATCAAAAGGTGACGCTTACATAAGCCTTTTGACAAAGACATGTTGCGAGATCTGAGGCCGAAATCCCGCTGATCCCATTCTGGAGGCAGGGATCCGGAGAGAGCAGGCATCCGCATCGGGCTATGCTGATGGCTGCCAGCTTAATTTGTTGCCAGAAAGGAAAAACGAAGGAGGACCACAAAGGCAAAATTGAATCCATTGGCGTCACCCGCTTCAAACCAATCCCACAGTCCCGAAGTACACCAAGAAGGACCCCCGTCATGTCAGTCATGTCACCACTCTTTGCAGGTGAGCATTTCTGCTTGCGTGGCAACGACCGGAACAAAAGAGTCACCGTAGCCCGTGTCCCTCCGCCGTTCACGTTGACCGCGGGTCGCGCCGAGACCCCGGCCGGCAATGCAGCCTGGAAAGTTCGGAATCACATCAAACAAGACCATTGTGAAGTTCACCGGGGCTTGTGTCGGTTCCAATTTGCACAAGGATGATCCCACATGCTCACTCATGGAAGCATGGTTTTTCCCGAGTCAACCGAGCATCGAAAACCTTTCCACCAACAATGACCCGCCTCTTGGTTCGAATCACATGCTGAAAGCCTTAGGCTCTCCAGAAACAGCACTTTTAAGACGCCTAAACCTTGCCGGCGGGGGCGGCTTAAAGCGCAGAATGGCAACTATGCGTGGTTCCCGCGGATCCAAGTAGCCAGATGACACTTTCCAGGAAAGGCGAGGCCAAGTGGAATAGTGGAATCAGAAACGGGTGTTTGTCCAAGCAAAGCCGACTCTTCCAGCTTCTTTTCCTTCTGGTGCTCCGACATAAAGGGCTTCCCTTGACAGACCCATTGGCTAAGGTCGAGCGCCGCTACCCCAAAGCTAGGATTGACGCATCCCCATATAGGTGTGTCTTTTTTGGAGGTACCGGGAGCCAACAGGAAAATCGCCGTTTGGGGGGGTCCCCGGCAAAAAGAAAAGGGGAACAAGCGTGGTGGTTTGGATTTGGTGGCTTGGAGGTGTGGAGGTTTCCCAATATCTACAAGAACCAGGCGAGTCCAAACCACCAAGGGTTACTTGAAAGAATGCTCGTGCTCGGGTCTCTTAGACTATTTCGAATTTTTGGGAAGACAAAACAGGAATCAGAACAGGAATCACCGGTTATGAATATTTTGCTGGGGAAAACAACACGTCTGACAAGAGTGCCAACCAGGGCATAACCAGGGCTCTAAACTCACTACCTCTTGCTTCCATCATGGCGATACAATGGTTGCCTGACCCCACGAAAGAAAGGGGTGGGTGCTGAAATGGAAGGATCTGATCCAGCCTCTCTTTGAAGCTGGCATAATTCTGCACGGCCGCCTGCGGGAAAGTTTTCATCTACGCGCAAAGGCTTCGCTTTTCACTCCACCCTTCGGAGGAAACAAAAGGACCTCGAGGGTCCCTTGACTTTCCGAAGGAACATGACACTTTCGTGCGTCAACTCCAGGCGCTTTTTTCGGCTCGGACGCTCTCAACCTTGGGTTTGCCCATGGCGCACAAACTCTCCGACGACTTTCCTTGTTCCGAGGGCACTTCCGTTGTTACTTATAGATATTTTTGAGGACCTGAGACTGGTCAACAGAGCCCCTTTTCTGGCCCAACTCTGTTGACTTCGGATCAAGTGGATTGGCCAAAACAAGTCACAACTTGTTGCTTACTACTAAAATGGTCTTCCCAAATAGCTTAAACTCCAGGAACTCGGGGAATGAGTACTTAGCCAGCCTTCAAACATAAAAACCGTTCGAGGCAAACCCATCTTGTGGTCTTTTTTGGTCCTTGCGAGGTTAAAAGCGCAACGCGCTTGTACCACACCAAGGGGTTCCCACCTAGTAACCAAAAGGAAAATGGATCGACATGTTGCCTAATAAAGTGTGTCATTCACTGGGAAAAAGGACCCCTCATTTTTTCAGCTCGTGGCATAGTGGCTACGTGGGCTTGCGCATGTGGGTTAGATTGAACAGCACGTGAACCGCCGATGAGTGGCTTGCGAACCAGTTGCTTAAGTGCGGGTGAAGCGAATTTTGTACCTTGGGGTGTGTCTCAAAGTAGGAGGTTTTGGTGTGTCTGGCAAACCATCCAACAACAAGGAGAACCAAACTCCCAAAACGACGAGCCGCCCATTTTCTGTATCTCTCAAAGGGAGCTTCTTGGCTCGGTGCAATAGAACCACATGTGGGTATGCGAAGGGTTGTGTAGCGCCTGAAGGCTGTTGTAGAGCAGATATCCCGGTACTGGCCGTGGAGTGTCCATCACGGTCAGTATTCCAAATCTCGTGGGGCCATCCACACAGGAAGGAGCTTTGTGGCAGGCTGCGCGTCCGGTGGCGAGGGTGTTGGCTGGTGTTCCGCTGCTGAACTAATTAGTGGGCCGGATGCGTTTGACCCCCGCAAGAAGTTGGCTGTTGGTTGACAGGGAACATGATCGCACACCACGCGCAGGCGAACATGGAAGGTTCCCAGAAGGCCAGGAGCTTTCATGTCTGGGGGAGGGGAAAACAAGTTTCGTAACATGCAGCAGCTTAAATCGCTACACAGCAATTCCAGCGGCCATCCTAAAGTACGCCAACAAGGACCCTGTGATTTCCCACTGGTTGCAGGTCCACATCTTTCGTGGCCCACTTAGCACAACCGGAGCAACAAAGCACCAGTACAGTCAAGTTATCAAATGGACCTTGGTGCCGGCTTGCGGCGCATTTTAAAGCGGACACCAAAAAGGATCCATACTCTCTCTCAGACTAACATGGAAGCTCCCAGAAGGCCTCCGCAAATGGAGCAATGTCTTTCAAAGAGGTCCTAGGAGCTTCCATGTTAGTTTGGGGGAGGGCAATGACAACCCCCTCAAGTGGATGAAATTCCGGTGGCCCCTCTCCCCCTTCGGTTTGCGACTCGGCTTGTCTCCCACTGGCCGTTCGCCTCATCGACTGCGGCACCTGGGCGCTTCCATGTGCGCAATCTGATAGGCGTGTGGGTATGGGTGTACCTCAAGACAGGGGACCAAAAAAAACACTGGTTGTCTTTTGGCTTCCCTTCGAACAAGCCCACAAGGATATCAACTCCAAGAAATGACGCCTGCATGTGTCACGATACCTTTTTCCCAAGCTGAAAAGGGTAGCCTCAACCAAATCCCACAGCCATGTCCTACGCCCCTCCCACATTGGTTCAGGAGGAAACTGATCCAATTGCCCTCACGGTTGGGAATCCCTTCTGTTGTGTTCTCAGTTCACAGGACCTCTGGGTGAATCCTGCAGGCGAGCTATGCAAATGAACCCCGTTTTCATCTGTACATCGGCAACCGATCAGGTGAAATCAGGAGAGAAAACAAACACATCCCTGAGATATTAGGGTTCCTTCATGGAGCCAGATTAGCTTAGGATTTGCTAGCAGGGTCTCTTAACCCAAGTGCCCTCAAAATGGCGGTGTTCCTTTTAGGCTTAAAGACAGTAAACAAAGCGACAAAAATAAGCTGCCAATCATAGCGGGTTGAAGTAACCGGTAACCCCTTCGAAGCCGGCTCTTTGGCTAGAGGCAGACCACGTCGCTCAGCTGGCTCAACGTTTGGCTGGTCGATGTTTCCCTTCACGAAAGGCACCAACCCCCCCCCCAG